GATTGTGTCTGGCAATCTGGGCAAAAAAATATGTTCACCAACTTCATTGTGAATTGGGCGATTCCCTTTTAAAACAAGGGGCTGAAGTGAGCCCATCCATTTTGGAGTTCAGTTTCAAAAATGAAACGCAGAATATTACAGGCAGGTGCCACACTTCAATGTTAAAGCAAACTTTACTGAGTCACAAAAAATGAAAAATGCAAAACGCTGACGATTAACAATAAAGCAAGATCACTCTGTGTTTGCATTTACAATTCCAAAAACATTCAAAAAGGGAGCTCTCCTTTTGTCCATCGGTCAAACCAAAAACAAGGGACAGAACAGGCGACCCATCGAGGGTTCCTACTTCTACAACAGAGCAGCAGAATGTCAGGCCATAGGCCCAAATCTGGCTCTGCTTCCCCCCGTAGCTGTGCTCACTTCTGTCGACCCCGTGCCCCCCTCGTCCAACCACCAAGCATTTGGTGGCTACTCTAGGCTCTGGGCAGTTCCTCCTCCTTTCTAAATGTTTGAATGCCTCTAAGGCTTAGTTACTGACAGTAAGAAGGTTAAGCTGAAATATATTTGCATATTTGGCCCCACCCCTTTGCCTTGGGCCCCGCCCATCACTGGGATGCAGCCCCAGAGGGCCCACCACCCCAAAGGGAATTCGGTCCATGGGCTGAAAGAGGTTCCGCATCCTGGCCTAAAGCTTTTTCCACAGGGGGAACCATTTACACTGTTGCTCTCCTAGATGGGCCTTCTAATGCATTATGGAATCCAAACGGTGCATGAAGCTTTTCCTCTGGCTGAGCTCCTGCATTTCTTCCCTGCGCGGGTTTACACATGCGCATCAAGGTCAGAATAGACTTTAAAAGTTTTTCCACAGATAAAACAAGGATACGATTCCTCGGTTGCATGGATCATCTCATATTCGACGAGTTTAGCTTCTCGGCTGAAACTTTTCCCAGAGGAGTGGGGCACGGCCACGCGAATTCTTCCATGAGAGTTTCAACTGAAGCATGTCCCACAGTTCCTTGCTTGTCTGGCATACTTCCAGAGCCAGGCAGCGTTTCCCTGGCTTCCATGCTCTTATGGGCGAGGCTTCCAACATGGCACCTGTCAGCACCAATCTGCCCACAATTACCTCTTTGGTACTCACCAGAGTCTCTGCCCCTCTTGATCTTAATTTTATTTAAGATTTTCGTGTTTAAAACAAAACTGAGAGGTTGCTATGCTGCAAAGGAAAGCACTGTGCTCCAACACCGTCTTTACGTAGGTTCAAAAGAGAGGCTCTGAGTTTTGCAGCTCCGAGCCCAACCCTGCCTTGTACTTCAGTTCTTGGGCAAGTTACTTTTCTCTTAGTCTTACCAGTCTGTCTTCTTGGAAATGAGTTGTTTTGTGACCAGCCTTGCCCACTAAGTCGGCCCTTTCAGGAATGAGCAAGCGTTTGCTCCCCCAAGAGAACTATTGTGTGAGAAAACCCACAGGACACACACACACAAAATCCCAAGCCCCACCAGTCCGAAAAGAGGGGGCACTCCAACTTAAGGTGTCACAAGATTCTTCGCTGGTTTGTTGCAAGAGACCAAGGTGGCTACCTGCCGGAAATGCTTACACTTCCTTAGCATCTATGCTCCTGGGAAGCTTACGTCTCTAAGGATTGGTTCTTCGGCAAACTGTTAGGTTGAACAATTAGGCCAGAAACACTTTCCATTTCATTTGGATTCTGACCCTATTTTTTCACATATGGGTTGTCCACATGGAAGAACAGCAAATCTGGAGTTACCTAACCCAAGATTCACCAGGGATACCTGGAGCACGCAAGCCATACATGAGCCGGCATCTGGGTTGCAAAATAGCCTACAATGCCTATTGTCAGTGTGACATGTGAACCGAATCCATTTTTGGGTTGTCTGTGGAATAAACTACTCACAGTTACCTAAGAACAAACATAGGTTATTTTTGAATTGTCTAACCCACACACAATCTAAACCATCCAGGTTTGGATGCCACACAATTTGCAAATGGGGGAGTCTGTAGGTTGTTTTGCAAGCCAAAAGCAGCCCTGGCAAATCAGGGGTTGATTAACCCACAATTTACTGCCATGATGTGCAAACCAGGACATAGTCTTCTTATGCACCCTATGTTTAAATCCTTTTATTCTTAAAGAACATCTGAAGAATCACAATGTTCTGTGCCTGACGGTTCTCCCAGAGACTGGAGTTCCCAAGGGCATTTAGTTGTGTGTTTGCAAATGAGCAACCAGCTCGGAGCTGACTTCAAACGTTTTTCCACAGGCGAAGCACACAAATGACTCTTCCAGTGGACGGGCCCCGTCACGTTCGACCGTGTGGATGCACTCGTGGGACGCCAGGAGCGAGCTCGACCTGAAACCTTTCCCACAGTGGGAACACTGGTGTGGATTTTCGCCTGTGTGGATCTTCCGGTGTAGCTGGAGGTGGCTGATACTGCCAAATTTTTCCCCACACGATGAGCACGTGTATGGCTTCTCACCTCTGTGGATCTTCTGGTGTTTAGTGAACTCTGTTCTCCGGCTGTAGCCCTTCCCGCACTGTAAACATGCATATGGTTTCCCTCCTGCATCAATTCCCTCGTGAGGATTACAGTTAAAGATGTTGCCGCAGTGAGAGCATTTATGTGGCTGCTGCCCTGTGTGGAATCTCTCGCTTTCTCCACACTGGGAACATTTATACAGCTTCTCCCCCACATGGGTCCTCTCGTGAGACAAAAGATCCGCACTGCTGTTGAAGCTCTGGCCGCAGTGCCAACACTTGTAGGGCTTCTCTTGGGTGGTGGTACTATCAAGCTTAGTGAGGTGTGCGCTTCGGCCCACACCTTCCCCACATGGGTCAGATCTCCCCTCATTCTCGTTGTCCTGGCTGGTGGATTCTCTGACAGCTTTACAAGCAGCTCCCGAAAGAGGCAACTGTTCCGTTCCTTTCTCTCTGTCATTTCCGTTCTGCCTCTCTGCCCGGTGCCGCTTCTCGTCCACCTCTCCCTGACCAAGGGATTTATTTTCTCTGGATGTCTGGAAGGATGTGCCCTGTTGTCCCACTTGCTCGGGCTTCTCCACAAAGGGTTTCTCTTTGTTTCCACTCAGCCACTCATCACCTGCTGGAAGAAAGGGGAAGATCCAGACATGACTCAGACACCGCTCTGGGGCTGCTCAACGTTTCTGCAAGAGGTGTTTTGCGCTGGGGCGGTGGGGTTTGCACATGTGTGGATTCATACACGCACGCACACAACTTCACATGTGACTCACTCCCCCCATCAACACCGTGCTTGTCTTCCACACGGTCTGAAAGGAAAAGCCTCCCATTTGGAACATGGGTGGGCGGCGTGCTTCATTCTCCCAGGGGTAATTTGTCAGGGAGTGGGAACCCCTATTCCCTAAAACATAACCCCACCCACAGACACACACATTTTCACACAGCTTTAACCATGCTCTTTGCCACCACCGAAAAAGAAAAGACGGGACGTGCTCTAGGACTAGATCCCATGGTTCTCGTGCAACTATCTCTGACAGAGGTGGTAGAAGCTAGGACTCCCAGCTGTTTCGGACTTTAGCCCCCCCAGAAGACCCTGCCAGCACGGCCAATGAGGAGCAAGTTCCAACATCCACAACGTCTGGAGAGAAAACGTCTCTAAAACTGGAAAAACAAGAAGCACAAGACTGTGCCATTCTAAACGTTTTCCGCTCGGTGGGGCCCTGAGAAATACGTTATGAGCTTCGCCAGTGCTTCCTCTGGAGCAACAACACTGAACCTCAAGCCTGTGGGTCAAATCTGGCCCACCTTGGGAGACCCAGTCCAGATGAGCAAGCCCCTTCCTTCCACCCAGCCACCTTTCCCTTTCCCACTGCTTATTTGCTGAGTTTCCCTCCACCCTATGCCTGAAATGCCTCTCTCCTATGGCTTACCTCGGGAGCAAAAGCTTGAAACTAAATAGGCTGATTATACACTGGTGATACAAAAGTTCCCTGCATTGCTCAAACTGCCTTTACCCAGAGTGAGGCTGAACCATCTGTGCTACAGCAGGCCAATTCCTCTGGGGCTCCAGGTGAGCCAACCAGGACTGGATCCCATATGCAAAACACCACACCTAATTAGCTGCTTAACAGAGAAGAGGCTGATTAAGGAGGTGTCCTTCAGCACACTCAAGCATACATCCCCTTGAAGGCAGGAGTGAACAGAAACCTTTACCATCCAGCTCCCAGTATTCCTGTCCATTGCCCATGCTGGCAGGGGCTTCTGGGAGTTGAAGTCCAAAACAACTGGGGCATCTACCTTCTGTCCACCCGTGCTGTCAGATGCAACTCTAATTTCTTCCCTATCTACCCAAGGAAGCAAAGATGCACATCAAATCCAACTCAGCTCCTCTATATCATAAGCTAGAACCACGGACCTAGAATTGGGGTGCAAAAAGTGTGGGCCACCTGTGGTTTGGGTCTGACCTTCCCAGGTTCCCCAGAAATCCACTTTTTCCCATCATCCCATCCTTATCCCCTGCCCCCAACCACTAATCCTCTAGTGCTGGGGTGCTTCTTCCACCCAAGGCCAAAACGCCTCTCTCCTAAAGCTCAGATGTAGCAGCCAAAGTGTTAAGCAGGAGCTGCTTTGGAAAGCTCACTGTGGGAATGGTGGCTGCCTTGAACTTAGTCAAAACACCAGCCCATTCGCAGTCACCTGAGCCCGTCCTGAGGATGTGGGTGGGCCCTCCCGAGGGTTTCAGGTGGCTGTTTTGTCAGCACTACTTGGAGAATGGAACTGGGACCTGTATGTAAAGCAGGGGCTGTACCACAGAGCTCTGACCCCTCCCAGATGCAGTGGGACAGGGCCCAGAGAGACTTACCCAAGAGACTTACCCGTGAAGTTGCCACTCTCGTCAGCTTCCTGCTTGATGTCTTTGCGCAGCGGCACCTGCTCCGGCTCTGGTACAGCCTGGGCTGCCTTGGGGGGATTTACAGATTCCTCTTCGGACACCCCTGTGATCTGAGGCAGGGCCGGGTGAAATCGTATCAAAATGGAGTCACGAGGCAAGCAAAGCGTGTGCTGAGAGGGTACGTGATGAAGGTGATTCCTTTGCTTAGGACAAGGACTTGTATCTGCCACATTTCACTCAAAGGAAGTAAGAGTGCAGTCCTATCATGGCCCTCCCAAAGTGGAGGTTTGCTGTCCTTCAGTGTAAAGCAGAAAAGGGGGCATTTTGCACTAGATGGGCCTTTTTGCTCCTTTAGCTGGAACATCTCAGAGCAGGAAGACAGGAGGTTGGAAAGGCATCAGGACAGCCAATTTCCTGCCCTCTGCTGCCTCTTCCCCGCTCCTCAAGATGCCCCATCATCCCTCTCTCTGAGGTTGCTTTCCAGAGGCTGCGAGGGGCAGGGCAGGCGCTCCAATTCCTAACTCCAAGATTGGAGCGCTGTCTCCAACCTCAGATCTGAGAAGGCCACCCCAGATTCTGTCTAGGGACTCTAGGAGTACAGCATCTCACAAGGATTAAAAATGCAGCATAGGAATCCACCTTCCATCAGGTTAGTCTATTTGTCTGATTAGCAGAGCTCTCTCAGGCCTCCTGCAGAGAAAGCTCTTTCCATCCCCTGCCGATACTTTTAACCTGAAGATGCCAGGGGTTGAATCCACGTGCAGTTGAGGCATTTGACCTTCTGCATGCGAAAGAGGTACTGTGCCACTAGCTACAGACCCTCCAAAAGCAACGGCCATCCTACTCACCTGGAATGGCTTATTTGGGATTTGAACTGGGAACCAAAGAGAAATATACTCCTCAGGGGGCAAAGGGAAATTTCCAGATGTTTTGGAGATCCATCAGCCCCAAGGAACTTGGAATGATGGGAGCTGATGTTCAAAGCATCTGGAGATCTACTTTCAGCTGATCCCTGAATTTAGAGCAGGAATGGCGAACAGGAAGCCCTCTCTTACGTTTCTGGGTGCCAATTCGCGCCAGCCCGTAGCCAACACAGTCAATGCTTAAAGCTGTTACCCCGCAATTCCCATCATCTGGGGAGGCGCATATTTCCTGCATCTTAAAACAAGTTCATAATTACTCCCCCAAATTTATAGCAGAACCCAAAGCAGTTTTTGCACTGAAGGGTGATAAAAATAGACCCCAAACAAAGGATGCTTGCAAAGGATATTGTACAATTGAGACGCCCTAAGTAAGGACACATCCCTGTTTTCAAATGCTCGCTCTCCAGAAAGGGAGGGGGGCATTTGCTGTATATCCCTAAGGGTAATTGTAGTACACAGCCCATTCCGATGGGTTATGCTCCATTTCCATTCATGGTTTGCTCTGTTGTAATCGCCAACTTAAAGCAAATTTACCACATTCTCTCCCATACACATAAACACATGCACACACAGAATCTCTTATTGCCCTGGTTTCCGTACGTTTGCTCAGAGTAAGCCTGGCTGAATTAAAAGGAAGATAAATAGGCATAGAATTCCAGCCTTAAGTACTGTATATATTTCTTTTATTTCACGCTTTTACAGGCATTTTTCAATGGACAGAATTTACCAATGCTTAAGAACACGAGAAGAGGTAGACTGGATCAGACCAAAGATTTATCTAGTCCAGCATTCGGTTCACAGGGGCCAACCTGCTGCTCAGGGGACCCACAAGCAGGACATGAGTGCAACAGCAACGGGTGTACTTGGGCAAAGTGCCTGATACGGGAGGGAGCACAAAGCCACCAAGACTGGCAGCCCCCGGCAGCCTTCTCCTCTGCGAATCTGACCGATCCCCTTTTAAAGCTGTCCACACTGGGAGCCATTATCACACGTGCAACGAGTCCCACAGCTTTGTGCTGCGGGAAGAAGTCCTTTTTGGCTGTCCTGGGTTCTACTATTACGGGAGAAGGAGAACAAGCGTCCACTTTCTCCACACCACACTTACCAGAAGCTGACACTAGCACCGAATGCCGTGAGGTCTGGCCTCCCGCAACCTGCTAACCTTCCAGTAGCACCAGGTGGGGGAAGAGAGCTTCAGCTGGTATACCATGCACCTGGCAATCAGGAGCAGCTCTGTGTGCTCAGCACACATCACTTCTTACGCAAACCAGGATTCCATCCTTCACAACTAAGCATGTACTGAAAGGGAGGAAAATGTCTACCCGCGTACCTACGTAGGAACAGGCAAAACATATCCATCATTCCCCCATGCCGGGGTAACTGGTCTCCCCCAGCTCACATTGTTGTGTACCAAACATGTAAGTGAACCTGCAGTCTACTCTTTCAAGGACATTGTCAGAGTCTGTGGAAAAAAGTCTGCAAGTTTCCACCTATTAAATTTTACAGTTTTCTTTCGCTAAACAAAAACATGCTCAGGCTAACAAACTGTTCCCAATTTTGCATAAGAATGATTGGGTGGGATATTTTTCTATCCTAAACAAAAGCATAAAAGGAGATTAACTACGGGCCAGCTTAGTCTCTTTTGGAAGGCAACAGTCTGAGCTAAAACCTCCAGCAAACAGAATTAAAATTTAAAAAGCCTTTTTATGAGGGTTTAAAGTTTGTAGGCCAAACCACTGTCATGCAGAATGAAGGTCAATAGGCCAAGCATTGTTATGCATATTTAATTGTTCTGCATAGCCTCATGATCGATTAATCTGAAATTACCTGTACTAGCTGAAACCTGAAAGCCATTCTCATGCTGATTCAAACCTCTGAGGAGGAGGGGGACCATTCAATCACAACAAAGGCTTCTCCTATGCAGCATTTGCCTTGCTTAGGGGAGTTTTGGGGGGGGCAGGTGACAAAATGACCACTTTTCTACTAGTGTTACTGGCACAGAGTGACAGCTAAGGCATGATCACACTTTCCTATGGGGCTCTGAATAGAATTCATTCTCCAAACTGTTTTCCAAATACAGTAAAACCTTGGTCTGCGAGTGTAATTTGTTCTGGAAACATGCTTGTAATCCAAAGCACTTGTATTATCAAAGCACATTTCCCCAGAAGAAATAATGCAAACTCAGATGATTCATTCCACAACCCAAAAATATTCATATAAAAATGATTACAATACTGTAATATAATACAAAATAATAAAGAAAATACAACATAAAGAAAAATAAAACAAATTAACCTGCACTTATCTTTGAACACCTGCGTGGCTGGTGTGAGGGAGACAGGAGAGGAGGGTTATTGTGTAGGATGACTTTTACTATCACTAACGGAATCGCCGCTATCTACTGGCTCAGTGGAATCTTTTTCTTTTCGTGCAACTTCAACAAGGAACCTATCCAATGACGCTTGCTTTTGCCTCCTTTTGAGGATTTCGCAGAAATGCGACATTGCATTGTCGTTAAAGAGATTCATCGCTCGCACCGCTACAGTCTTATTCAGGTGGTGCTTTTCTACAAAACTTTGCACCGTTTCCCACATTTTACACATCTCGCTAATCTCACTTGAAGTGAGGGATTCCTCCGCCTTTTTCTGCTGCTGCTCCTCCTCGGTAGACGAGCTCTCCTCCATAACCTCTTGCTGTTGCTCGCGATGCAGATCCATCAGTTCATCGGTGGTCAGCTCCTGGCCATGTTCCTCCACCAGCTCTTGAATGTCATCCTCATCCACCTCCAGTCCCATGGCCTTCCCCAGGGACACAATTTCATTGACAACTGGCGGCTCCTGTTTGTGAGCCAGCCCCTCCATGTCATGCCCAGGAACACAATCAGGCCACAGTTTTCTCCAAGCAGAATTGAGAGTTCTCTTGGTGACCCCATTCCAGGCTTGATCGATGATCTTGAGGCAGTTCATGATGTGGAAATGATTGTTCCAAAACTCTCGGAGGGTAAGGTTTGTTCCTTCGGTCACCTCGAAGCATTGCTGAAATAGTGCTTTGGTGTAAAGCTTTTTAAAGTTCGAAATGACCTGCTGATCCATGGGCTGGAGGATCGGAGTGACGTTGGAAGGGAGGAACTTGACCTTAATGAACTCAAATTCCTCCAGCAAGTCATCCTCAAGGTCTGGAGGATGAGCAGGAGCATTATCCATAACCAGCAAGGCTTTGAGTGGCAGATTCTTTTCTAAGAGATATTTCTTCACCGCAGGACCAAAGACCTCATTGATCCACTCAATGAACAAGATACGAGTGACCCAAGCCTTGCTGTTGCACCGCCACATAACGCTTAACTGGCTCTTCTGTACCTGGCATTTCCTGAAGGCCCGTGGATTCTCCGAATGATACACGAGCAGGGGCTTGACTTTGAAATCCCCGCTGGCATTAGCACAGAACAAGAGGGTGAGACGGTCTTCCATGGGCTTGGGACCGGGCATTGCATTCTCTTCTTCTGTAATGTAGGTCCTCTTTGGCATCTTTTTCCAAAAAAGCCCTGTCTCATCACAGTTAAAAACTTGCTCCGGCAGGTAACACTCGGAAACCATGAGCTTCTGGAACTCGGTAGCCAATGCCTCAGCTGCCTTAGCATCCGAACTCGCAGCATCTCCTCGCCTCACAACACTACGGATGCCACTTCTCCTCTTAAAGTTATCAAACCATCCCCTACTTGCCTTGAAGACCTCTTTGTTTTCTGTTGATGTAACTGGCCGTTTACTTACGAGGTCGGTGTACAAGGCTTTTGCCTTCTCGCAGATAATGTTCTCAGTCAGAGTATCACCTGCAAGTTGCTTCTCATTTATCCAAACCAGAAGCAACTTTTCTACATCTTCCAGAACACCTGGCCGTTGCTTTGATATTCTCGTGACTCCCTTTGCTGCATCTAGCTCCCTTATTTCTTCTTTCTTCCTTAATATTGTGCAAATGGTTGATGTAGACTTCTTATAAAATCTTGCAATTTCAGCCACTCGCATTCCTCGTTCGTACTTCCTGATCATTTCCTTCTTAACTTCCACTGTAATCATCTCCTTCTTCTTACCGCCTTTCTTTTCAACTTTCTTCTGCTTGGGGGTCACTGTATACGCTCGCACAGTTGTTGACTACAGTACAGTATTAAAAAACTCTCGTCAGAATCCGAGCATGGGAGATGATCACACACAATCCCGCAGCGAGAGAGAACCACCATTGGCTCAGTTGTGATCATGTGATGTTTGGCATCACGTACTACTCATATTGCCAAGACATTGCTCATTTATCAAGTTAAAATTTATTAGAAATGTTTGCTCGTCTTGCAGAACACTCGCATATCAAGTTACTCGCAATCCAAGGTTTTACTGTACTCTTTTCTCCCTGTGAAACATCTCCTTTCAGCCGAGTTTGGGAGAATGCAGGAGAAGCTACAAAACAGTGTGAAAATACTCATCCATTCTGAACTAAAATGAATGCAGAATAAAAGGCAGGTGTCCTTGTTCTGAGCCATCATTGCAATGTGATCAAATCTTCAAATGCAGCCAACTAACCACTACGGATAGAAAGACATTCCCACCCTCTTCCAAAATGATGGTGCCAAAGCAATGGGAAAGAAAAGAGACGAACAGGGGCAAAGCACTTAGGGGGCATGTATGTGTGGGGTACTTTTGGAGTGGCGAGTGGCTTCTGAAGAACATTTTGGACCCCTAACAGCGCAGTGTCACAGCCCCAACAGGTCAGGAAAGCCTGTACAAAAGCATGTGATTTCAAGGGGAGTTTAAAGCTTGCCACTGTATCTTCTGGCTACAAGCATGTTTTAAGGACACTCCTTGGAAACCCACGTTTCAAAATCGCCAAATGATGAGCCAGTGTGGCACAGTGGTCACTTTTGGACTGGGACCCAGGTTCTGGGGACCGATCCAGCTTCTAGTCCCCACTTGGCCATAAAGCTCAACTGGTGTCTTTCGGTCAGTCACTAATTCTAAGCCTAACCCCGCCCCCCCCGTTGTTGTGAAAATGAAGAAAGGGGCACGTGTAAGTTGGCTTGGGTTCCTCTGCCAGAGGAAAAAAATGCAGGAAAGATATAAATACAGTATTAGTTAATATTCATAATAAAACCAGACTCACCTGCGGGTCCCAGCCTTTAGCCTCTCGCTGCTGCAGAAGGAAGCCCTCCGCCAGGGTCACAGCCTGGGCACAGGTTTCAGGCCTGTTTGCCCTCACCCAGCTCTGCATCTCCGGGGGAAGGAGCGCCAGGAACTGCTCCAGCGTCACCAGCTCCAGCATCTGCTCCTTGGTGTGCCTCTCCGGCCTCAGCCACTGGCGGCACAGATCCCGCAGCTGCCGGCACAGCTCCCAGGGCCTGCTGGCCTCCTGGTAGCGCAGCGAGCGAAAGCGCTGGCGCTGCTTCTCCACGCTGGCCGCGCCACCGTCGAAAATCCCTTCTTGCCCCTTCGCGCTGGGCACCGACTCCAGGTGGATCTCGCGGCCCTGCCCGTCCTCCCCAATGAGGTGGGGCTGGATCGGGGGCACCCACAGCCCCTGGGGCCACTTGTGGGCAGCATCCGCCGCCGCCGCCGCCGCCTGCTGGGAGGCCTTCGGGCCGTCCCACGGCGGCCGAAGCGCAGGCAACGGGGGGCTCTCCCCTTCTGCACCGGGGGCCTGCAGCGTCTTCAGGAACTCCTGCAAGCGGGCATCCCAGCTCCCCGACGGCCCTTCCTCCGGAGGCGGCGGCGCCACCGCCTCCTCCTCCACGGGCTCCTCCTTCACCTTCGGCCCAGCTTCGCCCCTGCTCCTCTTGGCTTTGGGGGGAGCGGCGCTTTCCCGCTCCTCTTCTGCCAGGCCCGCAGGGTCTGGCTCCTCCATCTTTATCTCCGCATCCACCTCCTGCTTCAGCACCACCCGGGCTGCCTTCGCCTGATGCGCCGCGGCCATTTCCTCGATCGCAGGGACTAGAGCCTCGCTCCGCTCGCTCGCTTCCTCGCTCGCTTGTCCACTCGCGCGCGCGCTCTCCCTCGCTCGCAGCCCGCAAAGACCGGAAGGAGCGTCGTCTCGCCTTCGCCAACTTCCCCTTGCCACATTGCTGGGGCCGCTCTAGGACCCTGGCGCTCGGAGATTTTAACCCCTTCCTAGTCATAGCGTTCAATAGGCACTGTAACTATCCGGCAGTAGGGAGAGGCAGTTACGTGGTTTGCAGGCCTTTTAAAGACGACGTTTTATTTACATAAGTTTGCAGACCAGAAGGAGCAGAGGAGAGCCAGGGCGGTGCACTGGTTAAGAGCGCGGGACTGGGACTCGGGCAATCTGGCCATGGAGCCAACTGGGTGACTTTGGATCGGTCACAGACTCTCAGCCCAGCCTACCTCACAGGGTTGTTGTTGTGGGGAGAAGAATGATGCCAGCCACTTTGGGTTTTTTATAAGAAAAAGGCAGGATAGATATCAAATCAAATCAAAAATAAAGATCTGGGCTCCCGCTCAGCCGTGACTTTGGGCCATCGCAGACTGTCAGCCTAAGTTACCTCACAGGGTTGGTGCCTGGATAAAAATTAAAAGGTGGAGGATCATGTAAGCCCCCTTGCAGAAAAAATGTGGGCTATAATATAAAGTTCCTCTTCCTTGCATACATTAATGCAGGGTCTACAGACCAGCATCCATGTGTAATGCATGGTCTTACGTTTGGAAGAATGTAATAGCTAGTTAGGCAAATAATTGGAAAGTGTTATTCAGTTTTGAGATTGCAACAGAACTTGCAATGTGCATTACATGGGTATGTTCAGGGACTATGATCTTAAAATATCATAGTGCAAAACATGCAATCAGTCCTGTAAAACAAACTGCTTGTGTGTAATCCGGCCAAATGGCTAATGCAAGTCATAGGTACATTTTGATATTTCACTCTATGCAGTACTGAAATCAGAACTTGCTTCAAGAGCAGAATATCGAAAGATCAAATATCCTTATATATTTAGAAATCTATAAAACAAAATAGTTTGACTTGTACTTAACAGTACAAATTCAGTTGCATAAGAAACTAGACTGCAAACAAAGAGAAGCTGAACAGAAACAAATTAAGCAAACCCCACAAGGTGTTTTCAGACTCTAGCACCATGCAAATTCTCTCCTTCCACACACCGGTGCTGAGGAGGGGTCCTCTCGCTGGAACCGGAGCCTGGCCTGTGAAATGAGGGACTGAGCCCATCCATCCCAGCCACAGGGCTTCTCGGTCCATCCTGTGGACTCTCTTCTGTTCCTGGATGAGTAGTTTGCCCCTCTTAGAAACAGAATCACTAGACATGTTGATACTTTTTTGTTATGGCATTGTTACCTTGTTTTTCTCAAATCTTTGTTTTAAAGACAAAACTAATTTTAAAAAATCTGTTTGTAAGACTATGTGTTGCGGGGGGGGGGGGTGGAGAATCTTTAGAGAACACCTCCTCTCCAGGTACAGCCCTGGTCTTACTCCTGCATGGGGGCGATAATTCGTCCCTGAGTTTTCAGGGACCTTGGCCTCATCCTGCACAAGTCAGTAAAATAAGCATTGCTTCCACCTTCTCTTTGGTTAGAGAAATCCTGTTCCTTTCAAACTGCATCCTGAGGGCCGCACCAGAGAAAAGCTACCTTAATCGTTCTGTCTACAACCCAGTGCCTTGCAAATCTGTTGAAGCAATAATTCCCATCATCCCCCACAGGCATGGGAGTTGCAGACCAACACACTAGGAGATGCTGGTATACTCAGAAAAACAAATGTTGCCATCCAGCCCCACTGCCTTGCCATAAACACATCAAAAGATGCCTCCATGCTGGTGGTAAAGACCAGATGACCCCCCCCCCTCCATTAGTGGGTAACTGTCAAAGTGCAATCTCTGTGTTTTATAGGCTTGCTAAAGTGCTTCCTTAACCCAGTAAGTTCACACATGTAACCTTTTTTTGTTTAAGGAACTTGGCAGCCTGTTCAAGGTAACTTTAGTTTAGAAGGCCTGTCAAATTAGAGTGAAAGGTAACTTTTCTTTTTGGTGCTGTGACCTGTATCTAATCACTTTCCTATCCATATCAAAGTATCCAGTCACCTTCCTGTGTATTGTATTCACTCCCCTTTTGTGCATTCTATATAATCCTAATAGAATTAGCATCGGTGCTCCTGTCTTAGGCACCTGCGGATCCATGTGTTTAATTTTAAATAAACCTATTTGCCCTCACAAGAAACTGACCATTTGAGCCTTAATTGTGGATCAGTGTGACACTGGGTTTGGGAAGGCGAATAAAATGCTAATGTGTACACACACACACCTTCTTCTGACAGATATGTTCCTACATTATAATTTCATTTTTGAGAGGAGAATCCATCTGGATTTTTAAAAATGGCAAAGCTGAGCCAGCAGTGGCTGACCAAGAAGAGGCTCTTGGTGTGCAGCTGCTGTGGAAAAAGCAAACACCATGTTCGGCATAATTAGGAAAGGAATTGAAAGTAAAACTGCCAAGATCATACTGTCCTTGTACAAATACAGTGGTACCTCAGCTCACAAACTTAATCCGTTCCAGGACGCTGGTCGTGACCCAAATTGGTTGTGAGCCAAGTCAAATTTTCCCATAAGGTTCAATGTAAATAAGGTTAATCCGTTCTGTAAATGTTTTTTTAATCACAAAAATTTGAAACTAAGTAACAAAGTACAGTACAGTAGAGAACACTAACCTAGGTGGGTGGGGGGGGAGGTTATTGCTCAGAGGGAGAGGTTGTGAGGCTGGCGCTCCTTCCCAACGAAAGCAACGAACCCAGTTGTCGCTACTAGAATCTTCATTCTACATAAAATTAACGATTAACAACAAGAGCTGCTCTTGTTCTCTCTTTCTGAATGAGATCCGTTCATGGGATACTTTTAACTCTCCTGGGCCGTTGTTCCAACTGTCTTGTTTCCAATTGCCCCAATCTGTGGGTGCGTCTGCGAGAGCGGCATCTGCCAACTCCCCTCGGTCAAGGTTAACTCCCATGTTCCCAAGACCGTTATCAGCAGGTGTCTCAACCATTCCCTCGGCAACCTCCCAACTGGCCTCCAGTTGCTGTACTCTTTCGGTTTCTCCCTGAATCCCACCCCCATCTGCGCCCTCTTCTCTTTGAAGAGCTTCATCAGGGAGTGGGGGGGGGGGCGTTTGAACCGCTGGCACCAAATTTATTTATTTAGTTTATTTATTAAAACATTTCTATGCCGCCCCATTCGCCGAAGCCTCGGGGCGGCTCACAACATAAAATATAATACATAAAACAAATATACCTCTTCCTGCAACGAAGTCTGGTTCCCACAGGACGTCTCCCTCTTCTCCACGTGCGCCAAAGACTCTTCTGAGTCGGCGTGCACGGCAGGAGAGTCCAAACCGTAATCGTGCAATAGCAATCGTGCTCGGGGGGAGGGAGAAGGGTGCGACTGTGGGTGCAGGGAAGATGGCCGTGATTGCGATTGTGATCGTGCTCGCGCGGCAACACGGCCGCAAACGTGGTCGTCACCCAATGCGGAGTTCACGAACGGAGGCAACATTTTCCTGAAACTTCTGTTCATTACCTGATTTGGTTGTGAACTGAGGTGTTTGTGAGCTGAGGTACCGCTGTATGTGAAGCAACTGTGCTTGGAATACTGTGTGCAGTTCCCATCAGTGTGCCTAGAAAGGATATTATAAAGCGGCAGAAAAGGGCCCGTATTCCACTAGGATTGTTCACCTTGGAGCAAAGGCAGCTAAGGAGAATATGAAAGAGATGCCCAGATATACACCTGGTGTGGAGAAAGTGAAGAGGGAAACTATTTATAGAGGTGTGTTTATTAGACTGATATCCCACTTTTTTCTTACAATGAACTTTCCTCCTGCTGCTCTCAGTCTTATCCCAACAACAACCCTGTGAGGTAGGTTGAGCTAAGAGGCTGTGACTGCCCTGAAGTCCCCCAGTTGGCCCCATGGCTGAGCAGAGACTAGAACCCAGATCTGCTGAGTCCCCGTCCTGCACTCTTAACCAGAACACCACACTTTTCTCACTCTGTCACAATAGTAGAACCAAAAGAAGTCATCTCATGACTGAACGTTGGGACATTCGGGACAGTGTAGAGTCAGACTATAGAATTCACTTCCACAAGATGTTGGAATGGCTGCCATTTTAAAAGGGGGTTTGAACAATGCATGGAGGAGGTTACTGAAACCTTCTTTTCTGCAGTACCACCTTTGAAAACTGCATCGCAATTACGGTAAGAAACAACCCCTCCATTTTCACTCAGAGCTCTACAAAATCAATTCAGGACAGGAGCCATGTAGCAAAGGCTCTGGCCTGAAGGCAGGGGATGATATAAATGAAATGAAATGAAATGAAATAAATGTTGTTCTCATCCAGGAGGACAATTCTTATATTCTTACAGAAAACATCAAAACAAAAAACAATGTGCAACTGACAGTCAATGCTTTTTCATAACATTCTCCAGCAGCTGCGAACATTAATATATTTTGAGTGCATAGAATTTAAAAGAAGAAGAAAAAGTGACTTCAGCCCAACTTCTTTGCCACGTGGAGTTTCTGATGTCGAAGAAGGCCACTGCGACGTGTGAAGCATTTTTGGCACTCCGCGCATTCGTAGGGCTTCACACCCGTGTGAGTTCTTTCATGCTGAATAAGGTATGACCTGCGGCTGAAGGTTTGCCCACAGTCCGAGCATTCGTAGGGCTTCTCGCCCGTGTGGATTCTTTCATGTTCTGTAAGGACCGAACTGTAGCTGAAGCTCTTTCCACACTCTGAGCATGTGTACGGTTTTTCCCCTGTGTGCATTCGTTGATGTATTAGGAGGTGGGAATGCCTGCTAAAGGTCCTTCCACACTCTGAGCATATGTGCTGGTTTGTTCTGGCATGGATTTCTTGAGGTCTAGGAACATCACAAGGCTGAGGGAACCTTTTCCCAAAGTCCAACCAGACGGAGGGGTTCCGTCCTCTGTGTCTTCTTTCAGGCACGTTAAGGTGCAGTCTCAGCTTAAGGTTCTGACCCCAGTTGGAGTGTTTAGACAGCTTTTCTCTGAGCTGCTGTCTCTTGTTCTCAAGGAGCTCTAAGCTCTTTAGCAGGCTTTCCCCACAAACCACGCCTGCCTCCTTCCTCGTATGCAGGCACTTTGCCTCTTGGGAGGTCCTTTCGTACAGGCCTTTGTGAGCTTCCTCACGAAGAAAGGATTTTTCCATCCTCTGGCACAAAACACTTCCCTTGGTTTCTTTTGGACCCTGCAAGCATTTTGAGATGTGTCCTGCTTCAGGAACCTGGAAGCGTTTGTCTTCAGCTCTTTCCCATGAAGCTCCTGGGGCATCTGCTTGCTCACGGCCTCCTTCTTCCATCGCCTCCTCTTTTATGTTCGCTTGCCAGTCTCCTGCTGCAACAAAAAGAGACGCATTAGATCAGTCCTGCTCCAAACTCTCAAAGGTAAGAGTTGACCTTTGCATTTAGAAAAGGCACATGGTACAGATCCTCCTGGGGGAAGAGCTACTTTAGGGTGTCTAACTGAGGCTGCCTCTACACAGGGAGCCAAGTGAGATGGTACGGTCCTGAACTGGTAGAGTGGACTGTACCTTTTTTTAAAACCGCAAATGGAAAAGGCAGTCTTTGAATAGATTAACAACAACCACTGCCCAAAAATAGGCACACCAAGAAGAAAGTTATCATGATGCTGATGAACAGGTTGCTTCCCATCACAAAAAGCAGTCCTAACACACACAAGTACAAAAATGCATAAAATTTACAAAATCAGAATTTGCAAAATCATAGAATTCACAAGACCGGTATAAACCATAATTAGCACAATAATACAAATAGAAATGCACACCTTAACATGCAATTTTAAAACATGAAAGTGTGAAAAGCAGTTATCCATAATACACAAAAATCTTGCTTTCCTATCAATATAAAATGAATGCCACAAAAGCAGGCCCCCAATGACCAGGCCAAGCAGCATCTGTATTCTAAATCAGCCTTCCCTAACCTGGTGACCTTCAAAGGCACTTGGACCGCAACTCCCAGAATTCCCATCCAGCAGGGCCACTGACTGGGAATTCTGGGTGTGGCAGTCGAAACATGTCTGGAAGGCACAAGGTTGGGGGAAGGCTGTTCTAGATTATCTGAAGATCGTTCTAATCTATTTTGTGGATTTTTAAAAAGAAGTCATTTCTATTTCATTTTAGGAGAGTAACATCCAGCAGAACTAAGGATTCCAGAATGGGTTAGGACAAATTCACGTGTAGGGTGGCCATGGCCTAACTTACAGAGGACTGTACTCTCTCTGAGGGCTGCCCCGCCCCTCAGTTAGCACATGAACACTCTGAACAAGGCAGACACACAAGGTCACCCGACTACACTATGCACTGTATTTATATTTTAAATTATATTAACCCTTTCTTTGTTTTCACCCATGCCTACCGATTAGCAAATGCACATTACATGCCAAACAGCATCCTCTTCTCGCTCTCTTTCTTTTTCTAATTCATAAGTGGCCAGCCTAGAATCAAAATGCTGGCATTAACATTCAAAGCTCTGAACAGCTTGGGACGGGACGGGCTACCCAAAATATAATCTCTTCTCGCACGTACCTGTCTTGTCCCTAAGCTTGTCCACAGCAGGAGCCCTCACTAAGGGAAGTGCGGTGGGTGTCTACTAAGAAGAGGGCCTTTTGTGTTGTGGCCCCTCAATCATGGAATAAGCTTCCTAGAGAGGCTCACATGGCACCAACATTGTGCTCCTTCCTGTGCCAGGTGAAGACCTTCCTATTTTTTCATGCCTTTTAGTCTTTCAGTTTCTGGTTTTAAATCTGTCATTGCATTTTAATCCTTGTACCTCTGTGAGGTCCAATGTCAGTTTTTACTTCTATTTTACACTGTACACTTTTAAAGGGCATCTTATGTTGTATTTTATAGCGCTGATTGCCATGAACTGCTCAGAGAGTTTCAGCTACTGGATAGTTAAGAAATGCAGTAAATAAATTTAACTGAGACAAATTTAAGCTGTAGACCTTCCGGCCATGTCCTTGTCTCAGACTTGGAGTTTCAGTCCACACTGAAGTTAGGGTAGCCAGGAAGGAGTGAGTGCCCAGCATGATGCGAACACCCCTCTACATACACACACACACACACACACACACACACTTCTTATAAAGTCCACATACACACATTTCTTATAAAGCAGTTGGAACCCCATAAATCCTTACCTGGAGAGAGGACCTTCCCATCCACCTCCTTCACAGCCTCCACAGAAAGCTGTATCTTTGCCATATCTGATGGATCTTGTCCAAACAGTGTCTAAAATGAAGACCAGCACATAATTTACAGCACTGTTAATACCCTGGACCAACAGAAAGGCAAACAAGAGTTGCCTGGTCACCGTTTTTGAGAATATGGTGAGATCGATTAGTGGTGGTGTTGTTGTTGTTTTGCATTCATATGCCACATTTTTTTCCTTCCAGGAGGAAACCAAAGTGGCTTCTGCAGTTCTCCTGATTTTTATAGAGAGGCACTGTATTTCTTGTTAAATTATAGTCATTATTCCCAAACATGCCTCTCTACATAAACCAGCATATGCAGATTCTATGCAGATCCTCCTTTTGTGCTTCTTTGGGTGATGAGTTTTCTTTCTTTTTATGGCGATGCACATGTGGCGATCCTGTATTTCAGGGTACATGCACCCCCACCTAGAACAAACTGAGTCCCCAATTCCCAGAGGTGAGAATTATGCATCCACACAGTTTCCATCCTGTAGGGATTCCACCTGTTTACTAAGAACTGGAGACAAAATTCTTCCATTACCCTTTTTCTACGTGAGAGGAAGGAATCAAAACCCAGTGCTGATATTCTCTCCTCTGATCACCAGGAGGAAAATATTTTTCTTACCTGTTCTTGCTGGTTCACAGACCCCCTCAGCATCAGAAGGAAATCCTCAGCCAGGGCCATGGCCTGATGGCCAGTTTCCGGTTCTCGCGCATCGACCCAGCTCCGCATCTCCTCTGGCAGGATAGTGAGGAACTGCTCCAGGAGTACCAGCTCCAGGATCTGCTCTTTGGTGTGTCTCTCCGGCTCCAGCCACTGCTGGCAAAGCTCTCGGAGCCGGCCAAATGCCTCCTGCGGCCCCTCAGCCTCCCAGTAGGAGAACCTCCGGAAGCGCCTGCGCCTTATCTCTGAGCTCACGCTGTCCTTGTCCAGACCCCGCTCCTCCGCTGCATTGCTGAAAAGGTTCTGGCTTTTGCCACCTGGCTGGGATTCCAGCAGCATGTGGGTCCTCCACTCTTTGCAAGGCTCAGCATCTGCAAGCCCCTCGAAGGAATATTTCAGATCCTTCGGGATCTCCTCTAATCGGGATGGAGATGCTTGTGGGGCTTTCCATCCCAACGGAGGAAGAGGAGCATCCCTTAGGAAGTTGTGCTGTGGAGCTTTCCAGTGTGGTTGCAGCCCCTCCTCTGGCTCTTGCTTGATTTCACTGGCATCTCCTCCTGGAGAAAGCGCTTCGTTCGCATCCACTTGGACGATGGTAAGGTCTCTCTCCAGTGCCTGCCCCTGCTCGACTTCTGCTGGATCCTGCATTTCCATTTTTATTCCCGCTGCACTTCCTTGCCCTGCAAGTGGAGCCCAAAACATTCTGCCAGCACTGAGACGTGCATGCTCAGAAACAGCAAACTCAATCCAATGGTCTGTCCAGCTCAGCACCCCGTTTTCAGCTGCAGACCTCCAGAAACCCCTGGCATGCCTGCAGGCAGCCTGTGAAGAAAACGGCCCTTCCGTGTGCTTGCTGTCCCCAGCTTTTGGGATGCGGAGAAAGCACACAGCCTCAATAGTGAACAACCTGAACTAGTTCCTGTTCTATCTCAGAGCGCAATTTAAGGCTCCAGACATTATTCTTACTTTAATTTCTATGCCACCCAATAGCTGAAGCTCTGTGGGTAGTTCACACAAAATTGTAAACCCGGCTACAATGATAACATTCATGACAATAAAAATAGAAATACAATAAAATGCTGCTTTAAATTCCAATGTACACGTTAAAACAGTTTAAAGTTTCAGCTGTTTAGAGGTGGTGGGCTCTCCCATGCTAGAGACATTAAAAAAGAAACTGGACAAACATCTGAGTGGGATGGTGTAAATTGGTGTCCTGCAACAGCAGGGGGGTGGACCCGATGGCCTTCATGGCCCCTTCCAACTCTTCTATTCTATGATTCTATGAAAGTAAAGCAATTTCAGTAAAACCTAGATCTGCTGAAACAGTTGGCTCATCAAGTCCAACCCTCTGCCCAATGCACGACTCAGGTTAAAGCATCCTTCCCAGAAGGCTGCCCAGTCACATCTGGAATGCTTCGAGGGTGGGAGGGCTTCCAGGACCCCCCTGGGCCATCAGTCTGACTGTCCTATTGCTCCAACAGGCAGGAAGTGCTGCCCATGTTCAGATGGAATTTGATTTCCTGTCGCTTGAGTCCATTATTCTGTGACTTGCACTCTGGGATGATGGAGATCTGTGTGACAGCCCCTCAAGTACCTGAGGAGGACTACCCTCTCTCTCCTCAGTCTTCTCTTCTTAAATGCCCGGTCTCTCCTCACAGAGCTCTGCTTCCAGTCCCTTGACCCTCTCTGTGGCCCTCTCTGAACTGGTTAAGTAACCTGGTGCCTTCCAGTTGTTTTGGTGTACCTACTACAACTCCCAGAAGCCCCATCCGGCAGAGTCAATGGTCAGGGCTGAGGAAAGTCGTGAAGCCGGCGATCCGGAGGCTCAGAGGATTGCACTGCAGAAGGAGGCCATCTTATTGGAGGCTCCCCAATTTTGGAATTATCTACCCAGTGAGGCCCACTTGGAGCCAACATTGCTATTTTTTGGTTAAGACAGGCTTAACAGCCTGTCAGGATAAGACTGTCTTTTTCCTTCAGGCATTTGGCAGGTTTTAAACCAGTCTTGATTTTTTCTTGTTGATCGCTTAAAATTGAGATACGTGTGTCGGTGTGCATCTTCATTGCATGTTTTTAATGGCTGTGTGTTTATCATTTTTATAAACTATTTTAAAATTTGTAATCTTTGTAAACTGACCAGAGAGTTGGACAGTAGTAGAGAAATGTAATAAATGAATATCAGCTTCCCCACATGCCTAAATCAGCAGCCAGTCTAAGAAATGCATAAGCACGCACATGGACAAAGAAATATGTTAAAGCAAAGGGAATTCATTGTGTGTGTTTCAGAAGTGTGACCCAAGAGATTCTTGCTGGCGGCAAAACTCCACCTTCCAAACAGCTGCTAGAATGCATTGGAATTTGGGAACGCCCATCAGTAAGCATGGAGTTGGGATGACTTGAGGAATATTATAGCAATATTTAGCACAGGGAGGGGATGTGGTTCTGTGGCAGAGCCCCTGCTTTGTGGGCAGAGGGGCCGGTTGATCCTGACATCTCCAGGTATGGATAGAAAAACTGTCTGGAAAACCACTGTTGGTCCGTGTTGACCTTCCTTGACTGGAAGGACCCAGGGCCTGAGTTTTGTACAGCAGCTTCCTAAATTCCTATTAAGACGGTGTTATAAAAACCAGCAGTAGACCTTAGATGTTTCTGGCCTGTTATCATTGCCCTTAATAGTCCAGGAGGGATCTGAAGAAACCGGCCAATAAAGCTTTTCACAGCATGGAGAGAAAGGGAGGCGTAATGCAGGGCGAATGCTCTCTATTGCAAGGTTTCTGTTAAAGGCACGGAGAAGAGGCCATAAGCTGGCAACCCTAGCGCACCACTCCATGCGATCTCTTTTTTGCCTTCCTCCCTCCCTCTCTCTCTCTCTGGGGCTATTTCGGCTTCTCCGGCACTTCCTGGAAAGTGCCTTGCTCGAAACTCACCCTCTCCTTGGAGTCTTCGCATTGCCACCCCGGGAGTGTGTGGAGGGACCCCCACTTGTGCCCAAGGCAGGGGCCATCTAAAAGCTCATTTTCCCAGGAGGAAGGGACACAAAGCCACTGCCTTCACATCGGCCCTTCTCAAATTCATCAGTCTCTCTACAAAGCAGAACTCTATTTATTTAACCCTTTCCTTGACGCATTTTTAAAACCCCCCCTGCTCACATCATGCAGAATGTTAGTGATAAGCCATCGATTTGGACAGCTTGAAAAGCGGACAGGACACTTTAAGAAATCTGTCCGTGGCTACTAGTCCTCATGACTCTAAGATATGTCCAGTGCTAGAGGCAGGATCCCTGTGCACACCAGTTGCTGGGGCACATGGGCAGGAGGGTGCTCTTGCACCCATGGCCTCCTTGTGGGATCCCATGGGCAACTAGCTGGCCAGTGTGTGAGCAGAGGGCTCGACCGGATGGTTCAACCTGCACATCTGTTCTTGGGTTCTTAGAACGGCACCGATGTTTAGATGGAGCAGCTGCGCATGGATACAGATCTCTCTCAGGGGGAGACGTATATGTCCATGCACACATGTGCACGCACAGAGAAACACACACAAACTTTGGGGGTTGTGATTACTGCTTTACCATGTCAATTCACAACTTCCATGGTGGAAAAGCAGTGATCTGGGCAACCCGGCCTTGCTCAAGGGAAGGTTTGGTCAGGCACCAGCCAAGTCCCCGCATCCCAGCAGGGTCTCTCTGTCCCGGACAGTGTTTGCTGTGGTGGGAGGACCCATCTATGCCTACCCGCTCACGGCCTTTCTGCAACTTTGTAATTTGTTGTCAGCCCTCCAGAGACTTAGAGTAATTGGACCGGTTAGAAATGCCCTGATAAATAAATAAAATATGGCAGCGACGGAGACACAGAGCGAGAGCTGCCGGCGACAACACCTGTGGGAAGGTAGTCCCATTGAGGGAGGGGGGCACATGGGGTGGACTGGCCCTCCAAAATCGGAGCCAGCCCAGAGGACCGCTGGAGAGCTGCTGCAGCAAAGCAAAATAATGATGAAGGTGCCAATATTGCTGCCGGAGTGGCGGGTTTCACGATGGCGGCTGGAGGTCTTGGGAGCAGGGATGCTGCGGAGGGAGCTGAAGCACTAGCAGCTGTTAAAGAGCAGGGGCCCTCATTTCCTCCAGCCCCTGCTTGGGTTCTCCTGATGCCTCCGAGTTTTGTTGCAGTCCTTAGAGTGGCAGGAAGAGAAATTATTATTATTATTATTACATTTCTATGCTGCCCCTTGCCAAAGCCTCGGGGCGGCTTACAACACAATAAAATACATTGAAATGGCCTTGGGGTTCCATATTGAGAGCTCTCTGTACCGCAGTGCCAAAAATTTTGGGGTGCCTTACTTTCCGTTGAGGAAGGGAGACCTTATAATGGGCCTGATAAAACATGTGTTCCTGGTGGAGATGCAAACAGGTTGGTTGATATGCGTTGGCACAGCGGTCCGAACGTTGGGGCTGGGGTAGGAAGTGTTCCTTTGAAACAAGCTCCTGTATATCAAAATGTGCCACCACTGTGACTTGCGTGGCTGCCTGTGACTTCTGAGCCTGCGACTGGGAAAAGGGGATGATCACTGGGAGACCCAGCAGGCCAGCCTCTAAAAATTACCTGGATGGACTTTTGCTGAGGGCCTTTCCTGGGAGCCTTTCCCCAGAGCTAAGAACAGGACTGGGAGAGCACAGGCCAAAAAGCAGCGCATTATCCAGAGGTAGCTCTAGGCTGTATCCAGTGTGAGTCATGAGGATCAGACCAAGTGGGACTTAGTTAGTTGCAATTTCTCCCCATTGATTTCAATGGGTCTACATTCAAATCCTCTCAGCTGTACAGAGGGATATTGCTGAGGAGGCCATGGAAAAGTGGAGCCAGTTATATCAGCAATTTTTACCATCCACAGTCGACAACACTGAGAAACCAGAAGGGAGGGTCCCAAGGGCACCTTCCTACACATTTCATACCCCATCACTATTGAAATATTATATATATAAACCCTCATCATATAAAGAAAGAGGTACCGTATTTTTCGCTCTATAAGACGCACTTTTTTCCCCCTCAAAAGGGGAAATGTCTGTGCGTCTTATAGAGCGAATGTGTGTGTGCCCGACGGCCGGGACACGCTCGGCGCGCCCTGCTCCACCCCCCCACCCCGGCGCAGGTGAGAGCTGTGCCGCTCAGGGGGAGCGGTGGGGAGGAGGAGGAGCTGCGGGCTTTAACCTGCCGGCTGCACAGGGAGACGGACTGCTCACCCCCACCGCCCGGAAGACCACCGCCGGCACGCTGCCGGCCCCACGGGGCACCACCTGGCCGGCACACGCTCGGTGTGCCCTGCTCCGCCCCCCTCCTCCGGCGCAGGTGAGAGCTGTTAATCACAGGTCGGTGTGTGTTTTCAAATGGCAACCCATCTTTTAATGAAGCCCATGGGGAAGTGATGGGGAATGTGCCTGTGATTATCAGGAAGCTTTCCATGGATCAGTTATCTGTTAGTTGATCAGACACATTTTTTTTAGGATCAGTGGATATTTGAACAGCATTTCCTTCGTGTATGAATTTTATTCTTCAAAGGCTACTTAGTCCGCTGTGTGTTTGATTTACCGTACAATATCTCATTTTTTGTCAGAAGTTTTTTTCTATTATTTACTAGTAGGGCAGCGTTAACATTACTGGCTTTTTTAGATTTGTTATTGAATAGTCTGCAGCAGCTCTTGTATAACTGGTGTAGATTGTGGATTCCTTCAATAATTCCACTACTGACTAAGAAAGTGATGTCAGTGATTGTGAGCAACAGAGCTTCATAAATTCTGACTCTAGTGATGATGAGTTCTATGGGTTCAACGAAAACTAGAAGAGTACTCGAACTTTAAAGTCTCTCTTTTGTTAATGACAGTGATGATGGTTCTTAATGCCACTGTTGACTGCTGTTCGCTTTACAAGGTTGAAATACGGTATTACTATATTCTGTTATAGTTTATTAAATAGTTTAGTAAACCATTTGATTCAGAATAGTTTTTTTCTTGTTTTCCTCCTCTAAAAACTAGGTGCGTCTTATGGTCAGGTGCGTCTTATAGAGCGAAAAATACAGTAGACGGTAGAGTAGAAATGTACATATTATAATTTAATAATAATACTTCTATTATTAATAATAATATTAGATGGGTCCTTTTTCCTGCAAAGCAATTTACAGTCCTCCTCCTCTCCATTTTATCCCAACAACCCTGCGAGGTAGGTTGGGCTTGCCCAGCATTACCCACTGAGCTTCACGGTCAAGCAGAAACTAGAAACTGAATTTCCTAGTAACAGTCCAGCCGGCTAACCACAATGGCTCTGGATCTTTTTTGTGGCAGCCTCACTGTTATGTCATGTGCTCCTCAAAACTGGTCAGCTGGTCCCAATGCTGTCATCTTTTTGGCAATGGACCAAGCTGTACTTCTTCCCCAGGTTCAAGCCCACAAGTTTTGAACAGGTTTCTTGAACAGGACCTGTTGGGAACATTTGGATAAATCCTGTCAGAAAAACATGGCTTCTGTGTGCTTTTGCATTGTGGAATCAATCCTGTACTCCTTCTCAAAAGCAACAGCTTTCCAAGCTAAGTCACTGTTTAGAATGGCATTCCTCCCCCGCTCCTTTCTCTCACCTTTAGCTGTAAGCTACAGTAGACAGGCCATTTAGTCCAAATATGCATTATATACCTTCACAATGATTAAATGGTCCTCGTTGGAATTCACAGTTTACCAGGAAGTATCTTTTGCTCTCCTTCATGGATCACTGCCTTGTCGTGGTGAAGGGGCTTGTGTAGCTCAATGAAGCTATGAGTTATGCCGTGCAGGGCCACCCAAGACGGACAGCTCATAGCAGAGAGCTCTGACAAAATGTGATGCACTGGAGAAGGAAATGGCAACCCACTCCAGTATCTTTGCCATGAAAACCCCATGGACAGGACCAAAAGGCAAAAAGACATGACGCCCGAAGATGAACCCCTCAGGTCGGAAGGTGTCCAATATGCTACTGGGGAAGAGCAGAGGGCTAGTACTAGTAGCACCAGAAAGAATGAAGCGACTGCATCAAAGCCGAAAGGACACTCAGTTGCGGATGTATCTGGTGGTGAAAGGAGAGTCCGATGCTGCAAAGATCTATACTCCATAGGAACCTGGAATGTAAGATCCATGAATCAAGGCAAGCTGGATGTGGTGAAACAAGCGATGATAAGACTGGACATCGACATCTTAGGAATCAGTGAACTAAAATGGACAGGACTGGGTGAATTTAATTCAGATGACCATCAGGTATACTACTGTGGGCAAGAATCCCTCAGAAGAAATGAAGTAGCCTTCATAGTCAATAAAAGAGTAGGAAAAGCAGTACTGGCATACAATCTCCAAAATGACAGAATGATCTCAGGTCGAATCCAAGGAATGCTAGCAAAGTGTTGCTCAAAAGCCTACAAGCCAGGCTCCAGCAGTATGTGGACCGAGAACTGCCAGAAGTTCAGGCAGGGTTTCAAAGAGGCAGAGGAGCTAGAGATCAAATTGCCAACATACGCTGGATCATGGAGAAAGCTAGGGAGTTCCAGAAAAACATCTACTTCTGCTTCACTGACTATGCTAAAGACTTTGATTGTGTGGATCACAACCAATTGTGGCAAGTTCTTAAAGAGACGGGAGTACCAGACCATCTTATTTGTCTCTTGAGAAACCTATATGCGGGTCAAGAAGGAACAGCGAGAACTGGACATGGAAGCACTGATTGGTTCAAAATTGAGAAAGGAGTTCGGCAAGGCTGTATACTGTCGCCCTGCCTATTTAACTTATATGCAGAGCACATCATGAGAAGGGCGGGGCTAGATGAATCTCCAGTTGGAATTAAGATTGCTGGGAGAAGTATCAACAACCTCAGATATGCAGATGATACCACTCTCATGGCAGAAAGTGAAGAGGAACTAAAGAGCCTCTTGATGCAGGTGAAAGAGGAGAGCGCAAAAGTTGGCTTGAAACTCAGCATTAAGAAAACTAAGATCATGGCATCCGGTCCTCTCACTTCCTGCCAAATAGATGGGGACGAAATGGAGGTAGTGACAGATTTTATCACCACAGACAGGGATTGCAGCCAAGAAATTAAAAGACGTTTGCTCCTGGGGAGGAAAGCTATGGCATATCTAGATAGCATACTAAAAAGCAGAGACATCACCCTGCCAACAAAAGTGCGTATAGTGAAGACCATGGTTTTCGCAGTTGCAATGTATGGCTGTGAAAGCTGGACCATAAGGAAGGCTGAGCACCGAAGGATTGAGGTCTTTGAATTGTGGGGCTGAAGGGGACTCCTGCAAGTCCCCTGGACCGCAAGGCGATCAAACCGGTCAGTCCTAGGGGAGATCAACCCTGACTGCTCTTTAGAAGGCCAGATCCTGAAGATGAAACTCAAATATTTTGGCCACCTAATGAGAAGGAAGGACTCTCTGGAGAACAGCCTAATGCTGAGAACAATAGATGGCAAAAGAAGAAGGGGAGGGCAGAGGATGAGGTGGCTGGATGGAGTCCCTGAAGCAGTCGGTGTGAGCTTGGGTGGACTCCGGGGGATGGTGGAGGACAGGCAGGCCTGGAGGAGTGTTGTCCATGGGGTCGCAATGGGTTGGACATGACTTCAACTTTGGGACTAACAACCACAACAAATCTTTTGCTAACCCAGAGGGCTCCATGTGCCCCAGTCATTCAGAATGGTGCAGTTGCATTACTTAGGGTCTGAGTCTAGATGAGCTTATGAGTTCATGCATAGTTTCTCAGTAGCTTGAATTTACATGTCTAAGCAGACCTTGAGATGGGTTCGAGTTACTCAACTAAAGTGTCAATACACTGCAATTAGAAATATTGTAATCTCATTGTCACTGTATGATTGGCTGATCTTCCTTTAGCTGCTCTGTATGTGATGACCTCAGAATCTTATTTCTGTAATGTCTGTAATGTCTGTAATGTCTGTAATCTGTAATGTCTGCATTCTGTCATCAATTGCCCTGTACCTGTGTAGGTGACTGGGAGGGTATAAAATACCCTGTAGTTGTATTGAAACTTTGCAGCGAGTTTACCTCTACCTGCCTGGTAATGCATTATTATGAGTCTTACCGTGGGAACCTCGGCCAAACAATAAAGCCACAGATGGTCTGAATGTTTGATCTTTCCCACGAACCCGAGTTTTATTTCCTCCTCACAATGTGAAATTCCGGGATTTTCTGACAGTCCAAGCCCACCTGCTGGGGCTGCTTTTGAAGCATCTATTCTAGGCTGTGGGTTCTTGGGTTGGGGGAAAGATCTTCTGTGTTTGAACATATTTGGAAAAATATGAACATTTTTTCATATTGTATTGTTTTTACTGTTCCTTTTATTTGGATTATCGGCCTGATTGTGGTTTATTTTCATTTTGGGGTTTTCCTGCTACATTATTGATTCCTATATTTGTGCATATGTAACCCACACATACATTTACTAAATTATATATAAATAATTTAATTTATATTATATAAATTATATATAATTTAGTATACATAAATTATAATAAACATAATTTATTAAATGGAAGTGGTATGTACACATTAGCACACATGCAACATTTTCTTTCTGCTTTTATGCATGTGGCTCAGCGCTAGCAGAAACCTTGTTCAGAAACGTCTTGTGTCTACAGATGCAGCCCCTGCTAAGGGCTATTGCTATGAATTATGATTAGCGATGCATATTTACAATATTTATATTCCACTTATTCCCAATGCCAGGACTCACAGTGGCTCACAGCAATGAAAAAGGTATGCAATTTAAAATATTCATGCAGCTACAGAGAAGTTAAAAACATAATTCAGTCAGTATTAAAATTATAAAAACATCTGTCAGTCTCCTTACCAATGGTGAGAATGAACACAGCAATTTTAACAGTGAGATCACCCAGGGCCCTGCCAGTTACTTATAACAACATGCTACTGGGCAGTGGTCTCCACCGCCAACTACAAGTTTTTAGAGCATACACAGAGTGTTTTGTAGGTTCTGAATCACATTACATAGCAGCAGGGTGGATGAAAATAAAATAAGGGGAAGAGCCAAAAGAATGTGAGAGATCTGCACGGGGGGCTTAATGCAATAGGACTGATTACAAGAGATTCAGGCACAGGGATTATTGTGGGTTTGGGCATGCAAATGAGGGTGATTGCAATACTGCTGGAAAAAACTTGTCTGGCCGCCTTATCGGATTTGTTTGCTGTTAGCCCAAGAATAGCCAGGGGTTAACTTTCCTTGGGGGCCCCATTCTGCAAAGGCTTTCCCAGCCAAAGGCAGGAGCCATCTCTTAAAGGAGCAGCTTGAAAAATAACACTGAACAGAAGCTGTCTTGGAAATCTGGTACTTTCAGAGAAAGAGGCAGAGAGATGCAGGTTTGATTTTATAACACAAAGGCACATATAAGCAACCCTTTTCTACGAGGATTTATCTGGATTAATTTACCCCAATTAAAAACAGTGTGAAAGAACGCAAGTAGCCCACCGCAATCGGCCATCTCCCAAATGCCTCCTGCAACAAAAAGCGGGTTGCCTGCCTTTGGAAACTTTACAGGGGGCGCCACACAAGCCTCGGCAGGAATTGGGCTCCGGAGCCTTGGGGCAGCCACTGAGAAGGCCCCTCCCGCGCCCCACCAACGTGCCTGTGGGGCGGCGAGGCCAAGAGAAGGGCCTCCCCGGAAGATGTTGGAGGCTCGTACGGGAGAATGCGGTCCTTAGGAGGCTATGAAGGGGTTAAAGCGGCAGAGCTCTGCGTCCTAGAGCGCCACCAGCATGTAGCGGGGAAGGTGCCCGGGGTAACGTTCCTTCCGGTCCTCTTTCCTTGCACGGACAGCGGCTCTTTGCATTCTGCGGTCCAGGAGTGGTCGAGGGGGTAGCGGGTTTGTGCGGACTTCGATGCGCAGGAATCCTTTTCCGAAAGCCGGTAAGTTAAAGGGGCGCAGGTGTGCCCGGTGGCTTATTTTGCAATCAATTAAAAAAAAAAAACCCTTTGAACTGAGCTGAGAGATAAACCAGGATCCAGCAACACTGCTGGCATAATAGGGCTCTCACGCCCGATTCCAGTTAGTTGTTCTTGCCGCCATATTTTGTATAAACTGGAGTTGCAGGACGGGCTTGCAAGGCAGAGGAGCAGCCCCGCTGGCCGGACGAATGGTCCGCCTGGTGCACACGGTGGCCAAGCAGCTCCAGACGGGAAACCCACAAGCAGGACAGGCAGTCAACGCCGTCCTTCCGCCCTTGTTCCCGCAGAAGTACCGCTTCAGATAGGAGAGGTAGCATAGAGCTGGTTTCCACTGAAACTCTGCGCCTCCTCTATGAATTTGTTGGCCATCAAGGGTGGAAAACTTGCAGCCCCCCAGATGTTTGGTCAACAACTTGCATCAACCTTAGCATAGCCAATGGTGAGGAATATTAGGAATTCTATGCAAAAACATCTGGAGAACAGCAGTTTGTCCTTCCCCACACTAAAATAAGGGCCTGGAACTAAATATAACTTCATGTTTGTTTGTTTGTTTTTGATTGATTAGACTGCTGTTATGTTCCAGTAAGAACTAAGCAAAATCTGACTATGTGTTGCATGCTAGCTTGTACTCAAAATGCCTCTGATAAACATAGCAACTGACAGTCATTAGAAAATTATGCTAAAATAAATGTACAGGACTTGATTCCCAGATTATAATTGCTTGTATTTATAGTATTTATATACTGCAATGTCAATTAAAGTTACTCCAGTTGCATGGGAAAACTAGTAAGATTTATACCAAAGCTAATGAAACTTCAAGGGGTAAAATAATTTTTAATGTTTATGTCTTTTATATTTTCCCCTGAGTGAAACATTGGTTGTTTTGGAATAAAATGCTGGTTTGTAGAGCTGAGGGTGGGGGCAGGGGAAAACTGACATGATTATGTTAAATTCTGTAAAGGCTCCCCAGATGTTTTAGCCTGCTCTTCTGTAGAAGTAGCTATGATTGCTGTAAGAAAATTCCAGAGATCATATTCAGACAATAGCTTTATTAGGCAACACTTAAGAGCTGGTATGGTATAGTGCTTGAACTGTGACTCAGAAGACTGGGACCTGGTGGCTTTGGACCAGTCACTCGCTGTCAGCCTAACCTCCCTCACAAACTTGGTGTGAGGCTACACTGGACGTTGTGTAAGCTAACTTGGAAAAAGGTGGAGGAAAAAGGCAGGATAGTCATAAAGGAATACATTAAAAGTTTAAAAAGGGCAAGCTTTCAAGTTGTCCAGAGTTCTTCACCAGCAGATAATAAGCAAAGCAAATAAAAAAGGGAGGGTGGTCATGTTCAAGTTATGTAATTTGAACTGAGTCCCAGTCTTGAGATGAAACATGTGGGGAGGATACTCAGATTCATTCTAGCAGATGCTGTGGTATCCTGATCTTTTCAGGACCTCTGGGGTAAAGAAATGGATAAAGGTTGAGACCCTGCCTTTGGAAAGATAAATCAAGCTGTTAGTAAGAGCTGTCTTGATCTCACTTATATTTATGTTGTGTTTGTGTTTCTTGGGCACCAAGAGACAGCTGCGCTAGCTTGGAGGATTGTTGGTTTCCTCAGGCTGCTGAAAGGTCTTGATGCTTTGTTCTGTTACTTTAAGGGTCTGTCAGGATGAGCCTTTTCTGCTGAGGATTTAGCAACAGTGCCGGAGTACCCTATGAAGAAAGAGAAAGGTGCTGAAACAGAAAGGAGAGGTGCAGAAAAAGACCAGTGCCTGTGAGAAGAAATGGCTGTAGCCCAAGAGTCCAAGGATGTTGGGTCTCTGCTAGGGCAGGATGTGGTTCCGGAAATAAAAAAGGAGGAAGAAGACTTGCCAGGCCCTGAACTAGGAGAGATTACAGAAGGGGCGATACTTCCAAAAATTGAAAGCAGCAATGAGGAGGCTGAGCAAAAGGTGAAAGAGGAGCCAGAGGAAGGACCATCAGGGAACTGGGATGCCCAGTTGCAAGAGTTTCTGAGGACGCTACAGGCTCCTTGTTTAGGAGAGGAAAAACCTCAGCTGCCTGAGCAGAGGCCTTGGAGTGATCCTGAAGCCTCTCAGGAGGCCTGCCAGGAGGAGACCGATGCCGGAGGATTGTGGGTTTCCCAGATGAAGCCGCATCTAATTGGAGAAGATGGACAGGACCGTGAGATCCATCTGGAGGCCGCACACAGTGGGAAGGGGAAGGAGAGGGTTTTCGCTGGAGGGGCTGCTGGGGTGGAGATGCGGCGCCAGCACTTTCGGACACTGTGCTACCGAGAGGCTGACGGACCTCAGGAGCACTGCAGGCAGCTCCAAGAGCTCTGCCGTCAGTGGCTGAAGCCAGAGACTCACACCAAGAAGCAAATTGCGGAGCTGGTGACCTTGGAGCAGTTCCAGGCTATTCTTCCACCGCAGATGCGGAGCTGGCTCCAGGAGACTGGTCCGGAAACCTGTGCTCAGGCTGTGAGTCTGGCGAAGGATTATCTTACGTGGCAGCGAGGGACCAAAGGCTGGGAGCAGCAGGTGAGTCAGTTTACGCCCACAGGGCACCGCTGCTTGTGAGGTTCGCAAGCAGGAAGCATGACCTGGACAATGGCGGTGGCTTTGTTGCCAGCAAAAAGCTGCTCTTTTTGTCTGGTGAGCTGCAGTTCACTGGGGCGGCATAATAATGATCGGATGGGCACACGGGATTGGACCACTTAAGGGCAACAGGAAAACGAGGCACTCTGTGTCTGGGCTGTGCTGAGAACGGTACCAGCTCCAGGATTTTAAAGGCTCGGGGACCAGACCTCCTCCATTAATGACTTAATCTCACCACCACCACCGTCATTGGCTGCATTTACTGCTGCTCCTCTTTCATGCCAGGTGTTGCCTTGGCTGGGAGCAGTGGGTTTTTTGAAATTCCCAGGTTTACTAAGAAGGAGATTATTTATTATTGCAATAATATCAAACAAGCTAGCAGCAAGTCCTTACACTGCACAGCGGGGACCCTTGAAAGGTAGGGTTCCAATCAGCTGGGTTCAGGTAGAGTCGGCAGAATCCCCCTTGAAAACAGAACATAGAAACACAGCAAGTCAGAAGGGGTCTCCCGGGCCATCTAGTCTGACCCCCGGCTCCAGCCGGCTCCGCTCATGACATGCCCACCATGTGCATGTCCGTCCTTTCCTTGAACACCCTCACTAACGGGGCCTCAGCCACCTCCTGTGGAAGCCCATTCCATACCCACGGGGTCCTAACCACCAGGAAGTACATCCTGGCATCCACCCTGAATCTTGGTTCCCTGCACTTTGCTCCATTGGAATGCCTCCTGCCCTCCATTGCAGGGGGAAAAAGGTCATGACTCACCTCTGTGTGGCACTCCCTCACATACCTGTATGTTGCTAACAGGTCCCCTATGAGTGCCCTCCTCTCAAGCCTGAAAAGACCCAGCTCCCTCACACAAAGGAAGCGGCCAGCTTATACAGATTACAGACTCATGGTATTTAGTGCAAGCGTACAGCATCCTGCACAATTCTACATGACCCAGGGTTTGGAAACACTGCCCTATGAAGAGAGCCTGAGACACCTGGGCATGTCCAGCCTTGAGAAGAGAAGGCTGAGGGGGGACATGATATCCCTCTAGAAGTACCTCAAAGGCTGCCACAGAGAGGAAGGTCAAGATCTCTTCTTGCTGATCCAAAAGTGCAGAACGCGGAGTAATCAGTTCGAGTTGCGACAACCCAGATTCAGGCTGGGCATCAGGAAAAGCTTCCTCACAGTCAGAGCAAGACAGTGGAAGCAGCTGCCCAGTGAGGTGGGGGGCTCTCCCACACTAGAGACATTCAAAAAGAACCTAGACAACCTCCTGAGTGGGATGGTATAACTTAGTGTCCTGCAACAGCAGGGGGTTGGACTCAATGGGCTTCATGGCCCCTTCCAACTCTTCTGTTCTAAGATTCTATACACCCTTAAAAGGTACGGTTACAGGAATAGTTTTGAAAATACTGTTTACGCTGATGGTAAGAAATAATGAGCTACAGGGAGTTAATAAGGAGTATTCCTGTCTGCCAGGATTCTGACGTCAAAGCACAGGCTCATTACCACCTTTTACCTGGAGAAGTGATGGCTGATCAGGAATGTTAGACGCACCGTGTGTGTTCCTTTTGGGGCATCTGCACACCAGAGAGGGGAACTCCTTCATTCCTTGAAAGCCACTGTTCAAAATGAGAAGAGAATTCTTCAGGCAATGGGCTACCACCAAAAAGGCCCTTGTTGCCAGGGCTTCACAATACCGTGATGGGATTGGGCATTGCGGCTGCATGCAGACCCTGAGGGTGGGAAGAGCGGAGGGCAGGCTTATCTCGCAGAGGGAGAAATTTGGGGTGGGGATGTAGCATCTCAGGATGGTTTACAGTCAATAGGATAGGATAGAATGTTCTAGAATCCACATAGAATCATATGCTCAAGTCACCCATCCAGATTCTAACCAGGCCAGACCTTGCTTTACTGCCAAGATTAAGCAGGAGCAGGCATTTCAGGCTCTTTGGGAGCTGCTAGTGCCTGGTGCTGGCAAATACTAGCTCCCCGTGGCAGGCGGCATGCAAAGATTCATGTGCAGGTGTGGGTGAGGCCTTGTGGAAGGTTTATGCGAAGTGGAGGGTCTGATACTTGCATTCATTCATTACACTTGTTTACTATACACTAATCAAAGCTCTCTGGGTGGCTCACATTGCAATTAAACATGTTATGTAAACTGTTAACATTCAAAACTTTGAAATAGCTTACACTGCAGAGAGAGAGAGAGAGAGAGAACAATGGACACTATCAGAACCCAATTAAAACAGAAACAGAAATGTAAAATGGCTGCATCATAGCCTGTCAAATGCCTGGGAGCAGTGGAAGGTCTTGTCCCGGAGCTGAAATATGGCTGTGTTGGCACCAGGACGGCCTCCTTGTGCAGACTGTTCCACAGTTAGGGGGCTCACACCGAAAAGGCCCTCCCTGTTGCTGCATCCTTCAGGCTTCTCTTTGCATACAGAAGATTGTGGGTTCAATCCCCAGTCTCTTTAGTTAAAACAGGAATTTGGCCTGAAAGTAGGAAGCAGGTTCTTATGCTGTGTTTTTAATCCTTGAAAACTACTCTGAAATGTGGTTATTTAACAGCAATATGTAGTGATGCATCTTCATAATTAGTAAATCAAGAAGCTTGGCAGCGGCATCCCAGCTTCCTTTTGTTCCGATTTCTGTTTACAGACCACGGGGGTGACAGAAGCAAAGCACGCAAACCCCACCGGCGCAAACCAGGCTCTGCCAGACGTGAAGCTGCCGCTTTCCTCGGGAGCCGAGCAAGAGCAGGATGGCAACACGAGCTTGTTGGGTAAATCTCTCCGGGGCGTCACTTGCTGGATGCTTCCCTGACGTCAGATCTAGCAGTGCCGCTTTCCCACGTCACTGTGGGTCGGCAGACCCCTCGAGAAACACATGAAGGCCCGGGTGCAGGTCACAGAAAGCCAGGATTCTAACCCTGGGGTTTTCTTTGCCTGAAACCCAGAAACTGGAGAGCCGTTGTGTTGGTTGGGGTGTTGGCACTGATGAGTCCCTGCTGCAGTTCAATCTCTAGCATTTCCAGGAAATTTCCTGTCCCAAATGCTGAGCAATCCCCCCACTGAGGTTCGCCTGACAGGGCAGCTCAGCCTCGGCCTTGGACTGCACTGCACCCCTAGAGATCTCATGATACCATGGTGCCTCAGAGTTCAGGCATCCCTAAATTCAAACGGTCCGGAGTTCGGACGCTAAAATCTAGATCAGATTGTTCCAAAGGTCGAAAGATGCTTCTGAGTTTGAACTGCAGGCACAGCCAAAAAAACTGTTGTGCTCCCAAGCTGTCTCGCTGGGAAAGGATTTCTCGGGTCTGTGCCTTTCCGATCATTCTCAGTGCCTTTTCAGTGCGTGCCTTTTCGATCCTTTTCAGTGCTTTTTCAGTGCATGAATTTTCCAGCATTTTCAGTTCTTTCTCTCGCTTTATTTTTCGGTTACACAGTACATAACCCCTGCATATTACCCATGGCATCCATGAAGAGCGTGGAAATAAAGAAGCCTAAGAGGAAGGTTGTAATATCGACATCGCAGTGAAAAAGGAACTTAGTGTGAAGCATGAAGGGGGCGTGTGTGTGGTGGATCTGGCGGCCATGTTTAAGATGCCGAAGTTGACTCTGTGCACCATTCTTAAGAATAAGGAAGCAATAAAAGCTGCAAATGTGGCTAAAGGTGTGACGACGTTGACGTCCAGAAGATCACATGTTGTTGAGGAAATAAAACAACTCCTCTTCGTGTGGATGAATGAGAAGCGATTGGCTGGCAATATCATTTCCGAGAGGATTGTTTGTGAGAAAGCCAAGCAGCTGTATGACGAAATGCACACCTGGAACCAGTGCTGAAAGCGAGGAGTTTAAAGCAAGCAGAGGGTGGATTGCTAAGTTTAGGAAAAGAACCGGCTTCCGCAGCATTGTGACGGTATTTGAGTTTCATCTTCAGGATCTGGCCTTCCAAATTGCAGTCAGGGTTGATCTCCTCTAGGACTGACCAGTTTGATCGCCTTGTGGTCCAAGGGACTCACAGGAGTCTCCTCCAGCACCACAGTTCAAAGGCCTCAATTCTTCGGTTCTCAGTCTTCCTTATGGTCCAGCTTTCACAGCCGTACATTGCAACTGCGAAAACCATAGCCTTGACTATACGCACTTTTGTTGGCAGGGTGATGTCTCTGCTTTTTAGTATGCTGTCTAGATTTGCCACAGCTTTTCTCCCAAGGAGCAAGCGTCTTTTCATTTCTTGGCTGCAGTCCCCATCTGCGGTGATCTTGGAGCTCAGGAGAATAAAATCTATCACTACCTCCATTTCTTCCCTATCTATTTGCCAGGAAGTGTGAGGACTGGATGCCATGATCTTAGTTTTCTTAATGTTGAGTTTCAAGCCAACTTTTGTGCTCTTCTCCTTCACCCACATCAAGAGGCTCTTTAGTTCCTCTTCACTTTCTGCCATGAGAGTGGTATCACCTGCATATCTGAGGTTGTTGATATTTCTCCCAGCAATCTAAATTTCAATTTGTGATTTATCTAGCCCCACCTTGCTCATGATGTACTCTGCATATAAGTTAAATAGGCAGGGCGACAGTATACAGCCTTGCTGAACTCCTTTCTCAATTTTGAACCAATCAGTGGTTCCGTGTCCAGTTCTCACTGTTGCTTCTTGACCCGCATATAGGTTTCTCAAGAGACACATAAGATGGTCTGGTACTCCCATCTTTTTAAGAACTTGCCACAACTTATTGTGATCCACACAATCACAGTCTTTAGCATAGTCAATGAAGCAGAAGTAGATGTTTTTCTGGAACTCCCTAGCTTTCTCCATGATCCAGCGTATGTTGGCAATTTGATCTCTAGTTCCTCTGCCTCTTCGAAACCCTGCCTGTACTTCTGGTAGTTCTTGGTCCACATACTGCTGGAGCCTAGCTTGTAGGATTTTGAGCATAACTTTGCTAGCATGTGAAATGAGTGCAATGGTGCGGTAGTTTGAACATTCTTTGGCATTGCCCTTCTTTGGAATAGGAATGTAAGCTGACCTTTTCCAAGCCTGTGGCCACTGTTGAGTTTTCCAAGTTTGTTGGCATATTGAGTGTTGCACTTTTACTGCATCGTCTTTTAAGATTTTGAATAGCTGAGCTGGAGCACTGTCACATCCACTAGCTTGGTTGTTGCTCAGACTTCCTAAGGCCCATTTGATTTCACATTCCAGGATGCCTGGCTTGAGGTCAGTGACCACCCCATTGTGGTTATCAGGGGCGTTAAGCTCTTTCTTGTATAGTTCTTCTGTTTAATCTTGCCACCTCTTCTTAATCTCTTCTGCCTCTGTTAGGTCCCTGCATTTTGATCCTTTATCATGCCCATCTTTGCATGAAATGTTCCATTCATATCTCCAATTTTCTTGAAGAGATCTCTGGTCCTCCCTGTTCTGTTGTTTTCTTCTATTTCTTTGCACTGTTCATTGAAGAAGGCATTCTTATCTCTTCTAGCTATTTTCTGGAATTCTGCATTCAATTGGGTGTATCTTTCTCTTTCTCCCTTGCCTTTCGCTTCCCTTTTGCTTTGCTGCATTTCTTTTTCTTTGGGATGGTTTTAGTTGCTACCTCTTGTACAATGTTGCAAACCTCCATCCATAGTTCTTCAGGCACTCTTTCTATCAGGTCTAATTCCTTAAATCTATTAGTCACCTCTACTGTATATTCATCAGGGATATGATTTAGGTCATACCTGAGTGGCCTAGTGCTTTTCCCTACTTTCTTCAATTTAAGCCTAAATTTTGCAACAAGAAGCTCATGATCTGAGCCACAGTTGGCTCCTGGTCTAGTTTTTACTGACTGTATAGAGCTTCTCCATCTTTGGCTGCAGACCACATAGTCAATCTGATTTCTGTGTTGACCATCTGGTGATGTCCATGTGTAGAGTCTCTTGGATTGTTGGAAAAGAGTGTTTGTTATGACCATCGTATTCTCTTGACAAAATTCTACCAGCCTGTGCCCAGCTTCATTTTGTACTCCAAGGCCAAACTTGCCTGTTATTCCGGTTATCTTTTGGCTTCCTGCTTTAGCATTCCAATCCACCAGGATGATAAGGACATCATTTTTGGATGTTAATTCTAGAAGGTGTTGTAGGCCTTCATAGAACCGGTCAACTTCAGCCTCTTCAGCACCAGTGGTTGGGGCATAGACTTGGACTACTGCTATGTTGAATGGTTTGCCTTGGATTCGAACTGAGATCATTCTGTCATTTTGGAGATTGTATGCCAGTACTGCTTTTCCTACTCTTTTATTGACTATGAAGGCTTCTCCATTTCTTCTGAGGGATTCTTGCCCGCAGTAGTATACCTGATGGTCATCTGAATTAAATTCACCCAGTCCTGTCCATTTTAGTTCACTGATTCCTAAGATGTTGATGTCCAGTCTTGTCATCTTTTGTTTGACCACATCCAGCTTGTCCTGATTCATGGATCTTACATTCCAGGTTCCTATGGAGTATAGATCTTTGCAGCATCGGACTCTCCTTTCACCACCAGATACATCTGCAACTGAGTGTCGTTTCGGCTTTGACCCAGTTGCTTCATTCTTTCTGGCGCTACTAGTACCAGCCCTCTGCTCTTCCCCAGTAGCATATTGGACACCTTCCAACCTGAGGGACTCATCTTCGGGCGTCATGTCTTTTTGCCTTTTGGTCCTGTCCATGGGGTTTTCATGGCAAAGAGACTGGAGTGGGTTGCCATTTCCTTCTCCAGTGCATCACATTTTGTCAGAGCTTTCCGCTCTGACCTGCCCGTCTTGGGAGGCCCTGCACGGCATAACTCATAGCTTCATTGAGCTACGCAAGCCCCTTCGCCATGACATGGCAGTGATCCATGAAGGAGAGCAAAAGATACTTCCTGGGAAACTGTGAATTCCAGCGAGGACTATTGAATCATTGTGAAGGTATATAATGTATATTTGGACTAAATGGCCTGTCTACGGTAGCTTACAGCTAAAGGTGAGAGAAAGGAGTGGGGGAGGAATGCCATTTTAAAAGGTGGCTTAACTTGGAAAGCTGTTGCTTTTGAGAAGGAGTACAGGATTGATTCCACAATGCAAAAGCACACAGAAGCCATGTTTTTCTGATAGGATTTATCCAAATTTTCCCAACAGGTCCTGTTCAAGAAATCTGTTCAAAACTTGTGGACTTGAACCTGGGGAAGAGGTACAGCTTGGTCCAGTGCCAAAAAGATGAAAGCATTGGCACCAGCTGACTAGTTTTGAGGAGCACATGACATAAAAGTGAGGCTGCCACAAAAAAGATCCAGAGCCATTCCGACCGGAGGGGCTCATCTTCGGGCGTCATGTCTTTTTGCCTTTTGGTCCTGTCCATGGGGTTTTCATGGCGAAGATACTGGAGTGGGTTGCCATTTCCTTCTCCAGTGCATCACATTTTGTCAGAGCTCTCTGCTAAGACCTGCCTGTCTTGGGTGGCCCTGCACGGCACGCCTCATGGCTTCATTGAGCTACACAAGCCCCTTTGCCACGACAAGGCAGTGATCCATGAAGGAGGTTCGAGGTCTAGGATCAGCTTAATTCACTTTCCATTATTTCTAATGGGGAACATTGATTCAGAGTTCAAACAGCCTCTTAAAATGAGTTAAATCCCAAGTATGAGGCACCACTGAATATGAGGGGGTGTTTATGCCAGGTGTTGTTACAAGGTCTAGTATTTTACTGAAATTGTTTTAGCTGTTTAAATTTTTTTAATATTTTACATGTTAAACATATCTTATGTTTTATGAACTTGTATTTGTGGTTTGTAACTTTTGTGAGCTGCCCAGAGAGCTTTGGCTGTTCACAACAACCAAAGGTTTGAAAATGTTGGAATACCTTGTTGTATGGAAATATAATGGTATCTGGGATTCTAAGATAAACCTCTTTAAATCACCTGTAGAGCAGATGTGTTTTTGGGGAAATAGCCCTGAAGGAAATACAGGGTATAAAAGGGACCCAAAAAGTTGTTGTTCTTTATTTCTTGAGAATATTTTTTCTTCTGCTTCTCAGCCGAAAACGAGCCCCTGAAGTGACATGAATCAGTAAAAGACAGCAGTCCCCACTTGCAGACGTAAAATCTTTAAGAAGGCAACATCCAAGGGAAGAGGAATAGGGAGGGAAGGAAGGAAGGAATTAAAGGCACAATCCTATCTTTATTTTTATTTCAAACTCATATTAGTGTAATACTTTTATTTGACCAACCAAACAATCATAAAGATGAGCACGCTTCTGCGATCTTCAGAATGCGCCATAACGCATGATAGAAGGGGAGGCAGAATAGGAGGGGGAGGGCCTTTTCTATGTTGATTTTGCTTTCTAAAGCTATATCATTTTCCTGAATCCAACCTGTTTTTGGCGTGCTAGCAGAATTCTTGCAGTCTGCAAAGATGACCCTGGGTGTGGAATTTTGCCTTAAGATACAGATTGTCTTGCTGGACCCAGACCAGAGGCAACCCATTCCAGCATTCTTGGAGAGGATGCTGGCAACAGCAAGGTTCATGGGGGATGGAGGGCCATAGCTGCATTCAAGAGCAACCTAGCAGGCAGTGTGGTGTAGTGGTTAAGAGTGTGGGACTGGGGCTCAGGCGATCCAGGTTCTAGTTCCGTTTTCGCCATGGAGCTCACTGGGTGACTTTGGGCCAGACAAAGAGTCTCAGCCCAGCCTGCCTCACTGGGTTGTTGTTGTGCAGAGAAGACTGGGATCAGCAGGGCGAGAATGGTGTGAGCTGCTTTGAGTTTGCTGTAAGAAAAAAAGTGGGATACAAATGCAATAAGTAAATAAATGTACTGGGAGAGGTTTCATACAAGCTACAGAATGGAGAGGAGAACTTGTAAGCTGATGGGATCTACATATAGGAACTATGTGGACTGCATGATCCGATTGGGTTTCCCAGTCCTCTGATCATCCTGCTTTGATTCTCCCCTTTCTTCCAGCTGGTGATCGGTGGTTGAGCGAAAACGAGGAACAGAAACCCTTTGCAGAGAGTCCTGAGAAAATGGAGCAACTGTGGGTGTTACTGAAAACGGACAGAGGGAAAGCTATTCTGCGTCCGAGAGAAGCGGATGAGAATCAACACAGTCAAAGCTCACACGTTGTGACGCATGAGAGCACCGTCAAAGAGGAGAAATCTTACAAGTGCTGGCACTGCGGCCAGAGCTTCAGTAGCAGCACAGACCTTCTCACACATGAGAGAACCCACGTAGGTGAGAAAATGTATAAATGTTCCCGCTGTGGAGAAAGGGAGAGGATGCACATGGGACAGAAGCCGCACAAATGCTCACGCTGTGGGAACACCTTAGGCTGGAATCCTCAAGGAAGAATCCATGCAGGACAGAAACCTTACACATGTTCTGAATGTAGAAAAGAGTATATGCAAATATCAGACTTCCTTAATCATCAGAGAATACACGGGCGAAAAAACCCTTATAAATGCTCAAAGTGTGGAGAGAACTTTGGAACCTACACAGGTCTTAAAGCACATCGGAGAACTCACACAGGTGAGAACCAATATAAATGTTCACACTGTGGAATGTGTTTCAATTGGAGCTCACATTTAAGATTCCATGAGCGAATCCACACGGCAGTGTGCTCATATTGCGGGAAAAGTTTCAGCCAGAAATCAGAGCTTGTCGAACATGAGAAGACTCATGCAGCAGAGGACTCATTTGCGTGCTTTGCCTGTGGGAAAACTTTTGCAGTCAGTTCAGAACTGGCTGCTCATGTGCGAACCTATGCAGAGAAGCCATTGAAGTGCTCAGTCTCTGGGAAATCTTTCCGGTGCTCAGAGTGTGGGGATAGCTTCAACCACAGCTCGGCACTCAAAGTGCACCAGAAAATCCACACAGGTAAGAAATCATAGAAATTCTTGCCCTATAGGAAAAATGTCGGCCGGCATTTGAACTTAACATCCCATAAGAGAATTGACACTGTGAAGTGCTTCTAGTCCAGGAAAAGCTTCAGGCCAAGACTGGAACTTATTGAGTGCAAGCAAACCCATGCAACTGAGGTCCTTTGTGAATTTTGCCCCGTGCAAAACCTCGGTTGTGGAACCAGCGCGGAACTTGTGTGTGAAGCCAGACAGAACGGCTGTTCAAATGCTCAGTCTGTGGGAAAAACCTTCAGGAATAGTCTGCAACACTTTGTGCACCAGAAAGACCATAAAAGAGGTCAAGGTTATGTATTGGGATAAACAACCCAGAGGCTGCGTGTGGACCAAGCAAGGTGTCATTTGCAATTCTCAGACCACCACTACCTGTAAAACTACTACCTGATTTGCCACCAAGGACGCTCTAGGCATCAGAACTCGGAGGCCCTGCTTCTTCAAGGTCACTCTAGGAATCGGCATGCCTGGGTTCTGAGGGAAAGGAAGCTTGTGTGTGGGGTGGAGGTGAGTGTGTGTGTGTGTATGTGTGGGAGAGAAAGAGAGATTGCTTGTGCCTGGGGAGGGAGGAGTATCGGGGCTTGTAAGAGTGTGTGTGTGTAGACCCTGGACACTCAACAATCGCCACCTGTGGCAAGCGGCTTTGGGCATGCAAGACCCCACCATGGAAGAAGGTTGCTACAAAGCTCCCCGATTTCTGTGATTTTGAAGCCGCCTGTAGAAGGAAGCTTTGATCCAGCCAGGAGAAGCATCGGAGGACCTGCATGGGAACTCCAGTGAAGCAGAAGCTGACAGGGACGGTAGGCCTCACCATTTGCAGGCACCGTGAAATCTCGCCTTCAGTTTTGCCCTGGTAACACCTGTCGAATAGCTATCTAACTTCTCAGCTACAGTCACAGAAACACTCGCTAAGAAACAGGTTGTTGGTTATTCCAGCCTCCTTTTTCAGCCAGATGGAAAGACAAAAATAGACTAGTAACCTTTACACTTTATGTTTGCATAACCTTTACGTTTTCAAATTCCTGTGTTGCGTCAGAACAGAATTGGAAGTACGAGGTGGGGTGATTTTTACCCTCAAAAAAAGACACAGGAATAAATCTGCCAGGTGACTTTTATCAGCTCAGTGAGGTTTAAGACCATCACTGAGAGATGGTCCTGTCTCACATACACCTGTAAAAGAATGGATCTTGGGCACAGCAGGAGATGCTAAGACAAAATCCATTTCTTTATTCCTCCATGCCAGAAAAGGGAAACATACCTCAGGATTCAGAATCATTCTAAACTATTTCCCCCTTCTTTTCTCTCTCCACCACCTTTCTTTTCCATGGCTAGCATGCACTTTGCTAGAAAGAGACACACAGGTTCACAGACCGACAGTATTTCCCATGGTATTTTGGGCAGGCATTTGTTTCCGCCTTTAAGTGCTAGTTTCCACTTTAATGCTAGGTATTCAAAAATCGTATTCAAGTGTCATCTTTCACACACACACACATTATTTTGATGCATTTTGCTATACTTAGCTGCAGCGCTCTTAAAAACGTAAACGTTTCAGCTTTCTTGAGGTTGGTTCCTGTAGCATTTGAGTCTGTTTCTCATGATGGGTGATATAAGATGATATTCTTTAATAAACAGTTGGCTTCAAGGACATTGTGGTCTCTCACTAACTTAGCTTTTGGGATACTACGTTTGTCCTCTGTCTAGAGTTTAGTATTCAAAAAAATTTGCCATGTCTTTTTTTCCTTCTGCCTCTCAAGCCCTTTCTTTTAGATCAGCCATCTCCATCCTTGTGCGTTCCAGACACATTTGGACTGCAACACCCAGAATTCCCAGTCAATGCTGCTGCTAGTTGGGAATTTTCGGAGTCGTGGTCCAAATGCTTCTGAAGGCCACCAGGCTGGGGAAGGCTGTTTTAGATAGCACACCGAAGGCTTACATATTACAGGGTGTGGATAAACATCCATAATCTGAAATCATGTAAGATAACCCTGATGTTCTAACACAGCTTGATGTTCTCGAGCCCTTTTTTTAGATCAGCCTTCCATCTTGTCCCACATTCCGTGCAGATGGGGGCAAACCAGCTGCTCACAGTATCCCTCAGGCAGGAGTGGTGCGAGAGACCTTTCCCGCCCCAGCTCCTCAGCAGTAATGGGGACACCACATAGCAGCAAGGCTAGTAGCCACTGATAACCTTTTCCTTCAGGAATTTGCCCAGTTCCCTTCAGAAGCCATCCAAATTGGAGGCCAGCTAAACATGTGGTTTCCGCTTTCACCAGTACCTCAGATCTTAACATGTTTCTTATATATTTCAATGTGAGACTGGCTGTATCCATAGCTGAGTGTCTGCATACACCAGTGTCTGCATACACCAGCTGCTGGGGAACATGGACACGAGGAGGAGCGACGCTCATCTGGTGCTTGAGGGATCCTGCGGCCCGCCGGCTGTCCGCTGTCCGGACAGCATGCCGGCCTCGACGGGCGCTCCGTTCCTCTAATCCCGCAGGGCTCCTCTTAGTTTGCTCTGCCATGGCGAGGCCCATGGCTTTGAAGGGGTTAAAGCCGAGGAGCCGGGCCTCCTAGAGCGTCCCCGGCAAGTGGGAAGGAGGGTGGCCGGGGCAACGCTCCTTCCGGTCCCGTTTGCCTGGCGCGAGCGGCGGCTCTTTGCATGCTGTTCCCTGCGAGAGCTCGAGGGGCGGCAGGTTCCCGAGGAGCGCCGTGGCTGCCCGCAGCCCCAGGTTGCAGGTGCGTTCCGGGGACGTCGGAGACGGGGGAGGGTTTGCCCGGTGGCGTGTGTTTCAATTCTGGAGTAGCCTTTATTTCTGCCTTCTGTCCTCCGGGGGATTCTGGGATTTGGAGTCCAACACATGGAGAAGGGACTGAGTTGGAGAAGGCTGTTTTATCCCCGGTCTTGATAGCCGCGCAGAGATTCCTACAAGAAGCATAAAGCCGTAGAGCAATCCCCTTAACGCAGGTTAATGGAGGTGGGTTGTGCGAGGGCAGCAAACTGCTCGCCATGGAAAGTGCAGTACTACGCATGTTTAGCTTGAATAAAAGCCTGCAGCTGGCAGTGTTCTCTGCTAGTTACGGGGCTCTATTCTGTCTAAAGACGCATAGGACTACACCGTGCAATGGGTATTATTGTAATGCACTGCTGGGGAGGGGAGTTTTCCGGATCTGCCAGAATTACTCGGCCAGCCTTGGATTCTTTGCACCTTGACCGGGAGCGGGGCGGGGGCGGACTTCTTGTTGTTCCGTCTCAAGCAGCAAAGGGCCAAGGTTGCTGAAGGCTGGTGTTCCTGTCGGTTTGTCTGTCTGTGTCTGGCTGTCTTTGCTCCCCCCCCCCCCCGTGTATCTCATGGTGATTCATAGGAAGGAATTCCAAGTGATGATTTGGGTAAAGTGAAGATTATCACCGCCTCGAATTAAATAGGACCAACTACCGTTCACTGCAGATTAAACTGCTCTTGCCTTGTAATCCTGTGCTAACCTGCGTGGGTCTGCTCAGAAAGAGATGTTACATCCTGGAAGGTGTGTGTTTAAATCCAGCTTTAAATCCAGACATCTTTTTTCCTTGCCTAATTGCAAGTAGTATCATGAATGGGCAACAGTGACTCATGCGCTGGTGACTTCCCGTCTTGACTTCTGTAACGCGCTCTACGTGGAGCTACCCTTGAAGACGGTCCGGATACTTCAATTGGTTCAGAATAGAGCTGCCAGGCTGCTGATGGGGACTGGACGTTATGTTCACATGACTCCAGTTCTCCGTCAGCTTCACTGGCTCCGCATTGAAGTCCGGGCCCAATTCAAGGTGTTGGTGATGACCTATAAAGCCCTAAACGGCTTGGGTCCTGGTTACCTGAAGGAGCGCTTACATCCATATTTGCCCAGTCGCCCCCTGAGATCGGCGGGAGAGGCCCTTCTCCGGGAGCCCTCCGTGAGAGAAATTAGGAGGGTGGCTACTCGGAGAAGGGCTTTCTCAGCGGTGGTGCCTAAGTTATGGAATGCGCTCCCCAGAGAGGTCCGCCTGGTGCCATCGTTATTTGTTTTTCGGCGCCAGGCAAAGACCTTTTAATTTAAGCAACATTTTAAATGCTAACACAATTGAATTTTATCTGGCCAGGGCGGCTTATTTTATAATGTGTGTTAAATTATGATTATTTTATATGGATATTTTAACTTATTGTTTTATCTAGTGTTGTAAGCCGCCCCGAGGCTTCGGCGAATGGGGCGGCATAAAAATGTTTAAATAAATAAATAAATAAATAAATAATAAATATTTCCATCACTCTGATTATAAAGACAGGTGGATAATTAAAAGTGGCTGATGGAACAAGTGATCTTGAACTTCATGAGCCTATAGCATTTTGATGCCTCCTTGGAATGAAGCAAGTATTTTTTTCATCCATGTTAGAATTCTGACAAAATTAATATAATTAGTACCATTAGGTTCCCAGGCACTTTAGCTTTCCCTACTATAGATTGTCTTCCTTGTTTTCATGTTGGACTCCCCTCCCTCTGCCACATTAAGCTGCAGAAAATTACCATGTGTCTTCTGAGAAAAGTCATTTTGCAAGTGCTGTTGAAAGGTCCTGATGCTTTGCTGTGTTGTGTTGGTTGAATTTCATCACTGCAGTGCATTCAGAGATACTGACATCCCTCAAAGACTGATGCTGAAAAAGAGAGAAGATCATAAGAAGACCTGTGGGAGGAACTGGCCGTAACACAAGAACTGATGGCTTTTAAGTCTCTGCTAGAGGAGGGCATGGAGCCACAAATAAAAATGGAGGAACAAGAGTCGGCAAGCCCTGAACCAGGGGAAGAAAGAGAAAGGGCAGTTCTTCCAAAAACTGAGAGGAGCAGTGAGCAAGCTGAACAAAAGGTGAAAGAGGAGCCGGTGGAAGGACCGTCAGGGAACTGGGATGCCCAGTTGCAGGAGTTTCTGAGGACCTTACAGGCTCCCTGTTCAGGAGGGGAAAACTCTCAATTGTCTGAGCAGAGTCCAAAACTTTCTCAGGACACAGCCGATGCCCACAAGTGGCCCAGGGGCTTATGGGCTTCCCAGACTCTGCCATATCTCCCTGGGGCAGCTCAACCGGAGCTCAAGGTCCATCTGGCTGTCCCACCTGGTGAGAAGGGGCGAGAGAGATCGGTGGCGGCGGGTGCTGCTGCGGTGGAGGTGCAGCGTCAGCGCTTCCGGATGTTCTGCTACCAGGAGACCGATGGACCTCGGGAGCTTTGCCGGCAGCTCCAAGCCCTCTGCCATCAGTGGCTGAAGCCAGAGAGGAACACCAAAGAGCAAATGCTCGAGCTGGTGACCCTGGAGCAGTTTGTGACTGCTCTGCCCCTGGACATGCAGAACTGGCTGCGGGAAAATGGGCCCGAGACCTGTGCCCAGGCGGTGAGTCTGGCAGAGGGTTTCCTCCTGCGGCAGCAAGAGGCCAAAGGCTGGGGCCAGCAGGTAATTCCTTTTCTACCTGGTGCCCTTGAAACACGGATGGGAGGGTGGGGGTGGAGTGGGTGCCAGCCACAGATCCCAACGGGATAACCTGCAGCTCACCACTGGTCTGGCAGGTTGCAGGGGGTGGCAATAAACCTGGCAGTATCTTTTACCAGCAGCGGGAGAATGACACTAGCATGGTTCACACGTAGTGATGCACCATGGGTTGTTTAAAGCATAGGTTGTCTGGCCTCCGCCTTCCCTTTGGATGCTTCTGCTTTGCATCTGTTTTAGCAAATGACCCAGGAATGCCCCATTGCTGGGTTGCCTGATGCAGTGTCCCAACCCAGGACTTTGGGTTGTTGAAGGACAACAAAGCAACCCGGTTTGTTGAGTTCAAATGCTGGGCTGGAAAAAATGGAAGCATGGAGCAGGCAGGGGGCAGGGCACTCGCTCTTGCTGGGCCTTGACTGTTTGTACTTTAAACAGCCCTTGGGTTGAAGATCCCTGGAATTGTTACTTGTGAACCAGGTCACTGAATGTCTGAAAGGAGGGGCTAGTGCCTGGTCGCCTCTGCGTTCTGATGTGAAAGAGAAATTGTGCTATGTGCTTCTCCACAGCAAAGACTTAAAAAAGGGAGGTGTGAGGATGGATTCAGTGGAGGGGAAACTTATGTTTCTCAATATCTGGGAGAAAGGGGCATTATACAACTCAGCTCATCTCTCAAGGTATTGGAGGAACATTCAGGAGCAGATATTCTGTAGCAGAGGAGACTGGATTTGGGAGAGGAGGTGGTGGAGAGCCAAGACGCTCTCTTCCACCCGTCTCCCAACTTGATTTCCTGAGAATGCCTTTGGGCTCCAGCTGGTTCCTAGAGTAGGAAAGTGGTGACTGGCCAGCCAGTATCTTAATTGGTGCCCCAACCACTTGCCAAAAATGCTGGGGAAGGAAATATTACTGACGGGGGATATTTCAGAGGGAGAGATCATTTTACTTATGCCCATAAGTGTGTGGATGTGAGCAATCAGGCCTTACATCCACGTGGAACCATCACAAGTATGTCCCTCCAATGACTTCAGCGATCAGGCCAGTCAGAAAGGGAGAAGGCGCTTTCTCAGGGATTCAGTTCCCAAGTTGTTTCGGGCTTTGTGTACAAGTACCAGGACCTTAAACCCAGCCCAGTAGCAAATGGGCAGCCTGGGCAGGTCCTGCAGAAAGGGAGTGGCATGATGTTTTCAGTGCTTCCTGACCTAACTAGCCACAGTTTTATTGATTTCCTTTATCTTGTATTGTACGCTGCTCTTTCGCCATATTTTTGTCAATAAATACATAAATAGGAATGGGTTGACTATAGGTCAATAGTGCTGCCTGCCCACTCTACCGTCTGGCCTGCTGTTTGGCCTGCATTCTGACTTCATTTTGAACTCATTTCCTTCCCTTCTGGTTCCTTCAGATCACAGAAATGTCCGAAGAAGCTTCTGCAAATCCTTCCAATGCAGACCAGAGCCTGTGCTTTGCAGAAGCCGAGCAGCTGAGCCATGCAAGTGGGCACCGTTTGGGTAAGTCTTTCTGGGCCTTGTCCCATTGAATACTGTGGACGCTGAAGCAGCTGCAGCTCCACTGCACTCCCCCATCTAAAGCAAAGATGTATTTCCGGTGAGCTAGAAATACGTTATCTCTCAAATAAACTCATGATTGCCAGTGGACTGCTTATAACTTCTGATCAGTGTAGGCCAGGTTTTTTTGTCTGGGGGAAAGGGGACAAAGGTGTAGAAAGTAAGCTTTATTGTTCTGTCTGATTCTAACTCAAGGAAATCAACCCTGACTGCTCTTTAGAAGGCCAGATACTGAAGATGAAACTCAAGTACTTTGGCCACCGAATGAGAAGGAAGGACTCCCTGGAGAAGAGCTTAATGCTGGGAACAATTGACGGCAAAAGGAGGGGACGGCAGAGGATGAGGTGGCTGGATGGAGTCACTGGGGCAGTTGGTGTGACTCCGGGGGATGATGGAGGACAGGAACTTTGGGTCATGATGAGTCAGGCACGACTTTATGACTAAACAACTGGTTTGATCACCTTGCGGTCCAAGGGACTCACAGGAGTCTCCTCCAGCACCACAATTCAAAGGCCTCAGTTCTTCAGCGCTCAGCCTTCCTTATGGTCCAGCTTTCACAGCCGTACCTTGCAACTGGGAAAACCAGAGCCTTGACTATACGCAGTATTGTTGGCAGGGTGATGTCTCTGCTTTTTAGTATGCTGTCTAGATTTACCATAGCTTTCCTCCCCAGGAGCAAGCGTCTTTTCATTTCTTGGCTGCGGTCTCTGTCTGCTGTGATCTTGGAGCCCAAGAAAATAAATTCTGTCACTACCTCCGTGGACAGTACCAAAAGGCAAAAAGCCCTTAGTTTAGGGGAATCCTTTAAGCAAAGTTGGACGTGCTTTATTTGCCCTGTCTGAATTAAGCCATGAGTGCTAGCACCCCTAGCCATGGCCCCTGGCTCTGTAGCCTCCTGACCCACACCAAAAGAAGGGGGGCTCTGAGATCTCCCCCATGGACATCCACCTGCATGGACTACAAAGCCCTTTGCTGTTCAAGGAAGCCTGTCCCTGCTGGCTGGAGATGTTACTGCAGGCTTCAGCCACATGGAAACCCCCATTTTATCCTGACGACAGCCCTGTGAGGTAGATTAGTGGGGGAAATGAGAGGGAAAGAGTAAGAGAAGGAATGCTGGCTCCCAGGTCACCCAGTGAGCTTCATGCTTGAGCGGGGCTTTGAACCGGAGCCTCCCCGCTCCTCCTCTGGCCCTTACCTGAGACTCCGACTCACTGAAGCAGCCTTTCTGGTGATTCCTGATGGTGGTGGTTGTCCAGGCCCACAAGGAGTAGGGAAGATTTATTTCTGCAATGGTGCAACCAGAGTGGCAGGAGGAGTTACTAGAAGGACACTCACCCGTTTCCCAGGGACACCAAAGGACACATGGGAAGAGACAAGCTATGGAGATGGCATCAATGCATTGTCTTAGCTAGTTCTGTGTTTTAAACTGGTGTCCTGTCCGTTTGTTTGTTTATTTATACATTTCTATCCCACCTTTTTCCTTCTTCAAGGAGCACATGGTAGTTTACATGATCCTCATCCAGTCCAATTTATCCGTACAACAACCATGTAAGGTAGGTTAGGTCAAGAGCTAGTGACTGGCCCAAAATCACCAATGAATTTCATAGCTAAATTGGAACTAGAACACACATCTCCTGAGCCTCACTCCAACCTCTGTGTAGTGGTTAGAGTGGATTAAAATGTGGATTCTCCTCTTTCTTCTAGCAGGTAGCAAGTGGACGAGCAAAAGCGAAGAGCAGCAGCCCTTGATGGAGACTCCTGAGCAACTGACAGCATCATCCAAAACTGCTAAAGAGAATGATTTGCTGTGTCAGGGAGAAGGTGAAGAAGAGAAGCAACAGGAGATAGCAAAGCAAAATGGAAACGAGAAAGAGAAGGGACTGGATCCATGTGTCCACTCACAAGAAGTCTCCAAAAGCATCAGTGAAACGGCCACTGATGAGAGCAAAATGAAATTTGGTGAAGGTGCGGAAAGCTCCGTCTTGGCCCTGAACGAGATGGCTGATGCGGAGGAGAAACCGTACAAGTGTTGGCACTGTGGCCAAAGCTTCAGTAGCAGCTCAAATCTTGTGACACATGAGAGATCCCATGTGGGTGAAAAACTGTATAAATGTTCCCACTGTGGAGCCAGTGAAAGGACCCACACAGGTCAGAAGCCACATAAATGTTCACGCTGTGGGAATACCTTTGGATGGAACCCTCAAGAGAGAATCCACACCGGTGATAAACCTTATACATGTTTAGAATGTGGGAAAAGCTGCAGTCAGAGGTCAGACCTTCTCAAACACCAGAGAACTCACACAGGAGAGAAACCATATAAATGCTCAGTGTGTGGGAAAAACTTCAGAAACAGTTCAGGTCTCAAAGTACACCAGAGAATCCACACAGGTGAGAAACCATATAAATGTTTGCACTGTGGGAAATGCTTCAGCTGGAGCTCACACTTTATATCACATGAGAGGATTCATACAGCAGTGTGCTCCTACTGTGGGAAAAGCTTCAGCCAAAAATCGGAACTTGTTGAACATGAGAAGACACATGCGCCAGAGGAGTCATTTGAATGTTTCGCCTGTGGGAAAATCTTTGAGGTCAGCTCTGATTTGGTTGCACATGTGCGAACCCACAAAGAGAAGCCCTTCGAATGCTCAGTCTGTGGGAAAACCTTCCGGAACAGTTTGCAGCGTATTGCACATCAGAAGGTTCATACAGGAGAGAAGCAGCATAAATGTTCCCAGTGTGGAAAAAGCTTTAGCCAGAGACAGAGTCTTATTATTCATGAGAGAATCCATACGGGAGAAAAACCACACAAATGTTTAGTGTGTGGGAAAAACTTTAGAAACATTCCAAATCTTAAATCTCATGAGAGGACCCACACTGGAAACAAACCATATAAATGCTCCCACTGTGGGAAAAGTTTCAGCTGGAGTTCTCACCTTGTATTACATGAGAGAATTCACACAGGAGAGAAGCCCTACAGATGCTCAGACTGCGGGAGAAGCTTTGATAGGAGGTCCAACCTTCTTGTGCATGTGAGGATTCACACAGGACAGAGACCGTATAGCTGTTTGGACTGTGGGAAAAGTTTCACCTCAAGCTCTGTTCTTCTACGACATCAGAAAATCCACCTGGGAGAAGAAGCTTATACATGCTCAGAATGTGGGAAAACCTTCAGGCAGCGATTGGACCGAACAGAGAAGGTATCGAAATGTTCCGAGTGCATCAGAAGCTGTTCCCTGAACTCGGATCTTGTTGGACGGGCTCGGATGCATGCGGACGAAAAGCCCTTTGAGTGCTCAGTTTGTGGGAAAACGTTCAGGAACAGCTCTCACCTTATTACGCATCAGAGTGTCCACACCGGCGTTCAACCCTATCAGTGTTTGGACTGCGGGCGAAACATTGTGAGAAGGCCAAACCTCATTGCTTCTGCAAGTGAACAGGCAGGGCCAAATCTCCATAAATGTTCAGGCTGTGAGAAAAGGTTCAGCTAGAGCTCATATGGAACCTGGAAAAAGTGGAAATAGATTTCCTTCCCTTCGTGCTTCATAAACATTGGGCCTTTCCTTCTTTTAAAACAGTGAGGCACAATCTTGTGCATATTTAGAAAGAAAAAGGGCCTACTGAGGGCATGCTGGGAGTTGTATGACCCCTTTCTGTCTAAACACACATGGGATGGCATCTTAAGTCTACAAATCATTTACTGTCCTCTGCCAATACCCGAATCTGCTCCTGTCTGTAAATCAGGGGTGTCGAAACTCACGCCTGCAAGCCAACTGGGTTTCCAGTCTGGATCGTGGGGTTCTTGAAATGCCAGAGGCTTTCCCCATGACCTTTAATTGTTTGGTGCTATCCTGGCTTTTGCTTGTTTTTTCCTCCCTTTCTAAGAAAGTGGAAACGACTCTCCGAAGGTTTACTTACTGGTGCGTAGTAGGAGCTTTGTAAAAATTGTCAATATTTTGGCTGCATTCTTTCCCCCCATCAGTCCCACCCATTATCGCTCACATCTGCTGAGTGCATTTCCGAAACTGAATTCTGCCTTGGGATGAGAGAGGTCCCACTTTTCCAATTAAATTTTATTCTGTCAAGAAGGAAGTCATATACACATTGTAAACTCTGGGAATGCCTTTATTAAGGCAACGTTAAATGTAATTTTATTAGCATTTGGAAGGATGAAGTTAGCAAAGCTAGGGAAATTAAGGCAAAACCTCTGTATGGATTCCCTTTGGGAAATATTAGCCACCTGAAATGTGGTTTCTGAAATCCCGTAAGCATCACCTGTAAGCTTTGCAGTCAAAAGGACTAGAAGCTTGCTTATTTCAAACACAAGGAAGAGCTGAGGCTTACAGGAAGAATTCTGACATTGGTAATAGCATCCTGCACATTTCCAGTATTGTGTTGTACGGAACTACAATTCCTGTCCACCCTCCCGCCAGGCCTGGTCCTGTTCTTTTTCTTCTATTTGTCATCAAATATGCATTTTAGCACTAACTTTGCCTTCAAGTAAGGATGTGATTTGTACCATAATCATTATGTTGGAAAATTTCTAGAAAGACAGACAGACAGACCCAAACTTGGTTGGCATGCTCTAAGGCAGGGGCTAGAAACCTCAGGCCTGGGGTCCCAATTTAGACCCCCCAGGATTAATTTAGACCGCCAGGTGACTTAGTCCCTCAGGTCTGTGCTTCCCTTCCTTGGCTCAGCCTTCTTCTGCCCAAGGTTTCTTTACTTTTGTGCAATTTTCCTCCATTCAGAAAAGCTGAAATTCCTCCCCTAATGCTTAGTTACTGGCAGTAGGAATTATATGCTAAAACGTGCTAGCATATTTTGCATTTTAGCTGTATACTTTTTGCTTTCAACATCGACCCCTCTTTTGCCTTCAGCCCCACCCAGCGCTGGCATGTGGGCCCCGAAACTGAATTTGGCACATGGACCAAAGTGAGAGACTTCCTACTCTGTTCTAAGGACCCTCACATAGCCTTTCTAAAGCCAGGACCTTCCAGGTGTACAGGCGAGGTGGACTACAACTCCCATCATTCACACCCACCGTGCCTGGAGGTTGTCAGAGGCCATTTTAGAAGAAACACTGGCTTTTGCGGCAGTGCCTGTTTTGGGGATGTAGGTTTGCCTTCCAGACTGTTATAAATGTTTCTAGAGCCCAGGGGTAGGCAATCTAGTATCCTCCGCATAATGGCGGGAGTGCAGCTCCCTCAGCTGCTATTCTTTATTATTTATCAGATTTCTATCCCGCTTTTCCTTACAACAAACTTAAAGCAGCTTACATCATTCTCCTCCTGCTGCTGCTCCATCTTTTCCCCACAACAACAACCCTGTGAGGTAGGCTGGCCTGAGAGTCTAGGCCCAAGTTGTTTTCTTTTTGTGCTTGTTTCCAGTCTTGTCTCTGAGTGCTTTCTCTGTTTGGACCTGCCTCCTTTTCTTGCGGCGAACTGAGTGAAGCTCTTGGAGAAACGGCTGCTGCCAACCTTCAAGGCAGGGGAGAGAGGAAAGCCAGCATTCATGGACTGGTGTAGCCAAGCTGGGCTGCAGATCTGACCTTTCAGGAGTTATCCGTGGTTCTGAACAGTAATCCCAAAAGATTTTCAGCACCACAAATAGCTCCTTCAGGCTGGAACCTGGAGTGGATACACCACCGCACTGATACTGGAGTCACCAGCCACTACCGCCTTGTGAATTACGGCGCCCTGTTGCTTCCCAAGTCAGCCACTTTCCTTTTCCTGGAGACACACATCCTGTGGCTTCTTATAACATCCCCTAGGTGGGCCAGTGCATGGTCCAGTCCATTTTCATTCCCACTAAGTTGTCGTTTCCAAAGGTTATTGAAAAGCGTTGCTTAGTGGATTGCAGTTCAGACCACACCTCTGCCTCATGCTCCATCTTTGACTTCCCTTCCATGTCTGCCATTTTGTGGTGGTGCCCGGGAGTGTCTCAGATGGCCAAAGATGTCCTGCACTCAAAAAAGTTGGCTTGCTTCTGGGTTGTTGTCTGTCTGCAGCTGCTCTCAGTTGCAAAGGGCCCTGCCATTTTCTTCAGTTTTTCTCATCTGCTGATTGGGTTTCTGGGGGAAACGTCTGTATGCTCAGCTCTGCATATTATCTTAGGCAAAGGCTCAGCCCATTGATTTTGAGTGGGGCTGAAAGTAGAGAAGAGGTAAACATTTAAACTTCTGCTGAAAGCAGGGATTTCAGAGCACTGAGTTGGACATTCATAGCTGTGGATGGGGAGAGACTGAAGAGCTTTTCAAAATTAACATTTGGACTGCAAGTCTAGAACCGCCTGACACTTTTCTTTAGAAGTATGTACTTCGTATGGTGGTAGCCAAGAACTATCTTCCCTCATTTGTGGTCTGGCCAAGGAACAAAAGAAGAGCTCCTGATGTGACTTTTAAAATTGCCCGGGCAAGGACAAAATTAGGAACTTGCCTGTATTTATCCATTGTTGGATTTTAATGCATGTTCATTTTTTTCTTTGTGGCTCAGTAAAGTTTGAGTGAAATTGAATCACTAGTTCTTCCTGTTCTGTTTCACATTTTCTGAACTGTATGCTCAGAAAAACATTACTCTGGATGCCCTTTTAAAAGGGTTAAGACAGATTCATGTGAGATATGTTGGTGAATGTTTTAGCCATCCTGACTAAATAGAACCTCCATATTCAGGGGAACTGTATCTTCAAATTTCAGATGACAGGGATCGAGAATGTATGTCTTTCATTCCACTTCTGTGTCACTCCATAACCCAAAGCTTCTCTGGGTACTTATAAGTGCTTGGGCAGCTTACAGATACAAATTAGCAGTGCATTTTAAACATCATTGCTTAAATCCAGGACGAAATGGACACCTAATCTTATCTAGCAGGGTTTTTGCATTCTTAGGAAAGCTTAAGAGCTTCCCAACATTTTGGGGTTGGGGGCACGTTTGGAACTCTGAGACAGAGTCATAGGCATTCTTTCAAAGTTGTTTTATGGGGTGGCCGCCCACCCATTAAATGGCAAGCTGTTGCTACTAGAGGAAAATTAACTTGCCCAAGAACCTAAAACAGAGGTAGGTTCTGAATTCCCTGATGCCAGGCCTCTCTTTCGAACCCAAATAAAGATGATGTTGGAAAATAGCACTTTCCTTTGGGATATACCAGTGGTCCCGTTAAAAAATGAAAAAGGTGGTGGGCGGGGGGCAGAAGGCTCCTATTCTGGGCCCTGCATGAACTCCGGCATCCATAAGTACTAAATCGGAGTCCCCAGCGTAAGGGACTAGCCCAAAGCTTCAGTGGCAATTTCTTCAGTGCCTCTCCTCGTTTGTCGATGATGCCAAATGGTTTAGGGAGATGAAAACAGAAAAGGGACTGCGCAGAGCTCCAGAATGATCCCTCCAGATTTGGAAAATGGAAAGCACAAATGTGAATTCCTTCATGTAGTAGCCAACTAGATCACTGCCAGGAAGTCCAACCCAAGCAGCATCGTTGTGGGTCTAGCAGCAGATCTCTAAAGGTATACTGCCTCTGATCATGGAAGATCTATTTAGCTATGATGGCTAATACAGAAACATGGTGAGTCAGAAGGGACTTTGCGGGCCATCTAGTCTGACCCCTGGCTCCATTCATGGATTGCCCAACATGTGCGTGTCCAATCTTGCCTTGAACACCCTCAATGATGGGACCCCCAGCATGTCCTGTGGAAGCCCATTCCACATCCTAGGGGGTCCTGACCATCAGGAACTGCCTCCTGACATGCAACACGAAACCCAGTTACTGGATCATGTCATTCCCTCCCCCATAGTGGAGAACAGGTTACAACCCTCCATCATGTGATGCCCCTTCACATACCTGTAAGGCACTATAAGATCCCCTCGGAGTCTGAAAAGACCCAGTGCACGCAATCTCATCCCATATGGCACCCCGTGTCCCCAAATCTGGCTACCAACCCTATGACCCTGCACTGAACTGATTCCACCCTTGCTGGGTCCCTCTTGTAATGGGGAGACCAGAACTGTACTCCAGTTGTGGGCACACCAGAATCATGTAGAGTGGTATCAGCATCTGGAAGCCCCGCTTCTGGCTATGCATCCAAGGGTGGTGTTGGCCCTCTTAGCCGCTGTGTCACACAGCTGGCTCGTATTCGGCCTGCTCTTGACAAGTAGAGTGGTACCTCGGCTCACGAACTTAATCCGTTCCAGGACTCTGGTCGTGACCCAAATTGGTCATGAGCCAAGTCAAATTTCCCCATGAGGTTCAGTGTAGATAAGGTTAATCCGTTCCATTACTATTTTTTTTAATCAGAAAAATGTGAAGCAAAATGACAGAGCAACAAAGATCACAGCCATCTCTCCCACGAGCACGGGCATCTCTCCACCCCTCCCAGCATGACTGCAATCACACCCGTCATCTCTGCAAGCTCCCGTCATCCTGGTGTGCTGGGGGGGGGAGATGGGCGCGAACGTGCTGTGCGGGGAGATGGCCGAGATCACAGTTGCGCTCCTGCGGGAAAGACGAGCGCGATCTCGGCCATCTCCCCACCGCCACCACCCCCAGCATGATCGCAGCCGCCACCCAATGCGGAGTTCGTGACCCGAGTCAAAATTTTAATGAAATTTTTGTTCGCGACCCAATTTGGTTGTGAACTGAGGCGTTCATGAGCCGAGGCACCACTGTACCCTGAGATAGCCTTTGGCAGTCCTCCGCTCTCCCATGAATTCATCTCATGTGTCTGATGTGTTGGAGTACAACTTCAGAAAGGCCTCAGACCATCCAGGCTAATTGGAGGATGATGGAGTTGAAGTCCAACTTATCTGGAGGGCACCAGGTGTGGAAAGCTGGGGTGTACGCCTGCAATGCTTTTTACTACTTCCCCAATATGGCATTCTACTATCTTGTTTTGTTTTTTAGGGTGATGGGAGGTATCAGAGGATCTCTGTCCTTATTTTTCTTTTACATTTTTTCTCCCTTTCTGTACTTTATTTCCTTTAAGAAAACATTTTTTAAAGAAACTTAAGCCCTCAGGGTCCCTGGTGGACTGAGAACAACATAAATTAAGAATGTTGCAATATATTTTTCTATCTGCAGTATTTTCTCCCCATTCCCCAGTCAAAAAGGGCTCCCAGAGCACTTTATATGCAGTCATTAAAAATAAGACAGTCCCTCGCCTACAGATGTATTAATACAATAAAAAGAGGCACAACATGACAAAACACACAAGGAAAAAGGGATAAGGAGATGGAAAAAATGCACAGCCTTCCTTGTTTTTATTAGGAATTCTTAACATTCCCCCCCAAATGTTTTCCTTTAAGGAGGCAATCTTATTTTTTATTATATTCTGCCCCCACCCCAATAATCCTTGTATCTATATTATTCTCACAACTCTGAGAATTGTGCGAATAATATAGATTTTATGTTATAAAATCTGAGAGTGAATGACTGCCCCAAAGTCCTGCATGAGTTTCCTGGAGGGGTGGGGACTTGGGCCCAGGACTCCTGAATCCCAGTCCAGCAACATACTGGCTTTCCCAGCGCTCTCATCACTGCATCCCACTGGCTCTGAAAGTAAAATCCATTTAGGAATCTCTGTTTAGAAGAAAACAGGCATGTGAATGCTGGGCCGGGAGTCGTAGGGCTTTTTCCTGTCTGAATAAACAGAATGGGCAAGAAAAGTGATCCAGGGTTTGGAAACTCTGCTCTGTGAGGAGAGGCTGAGAGAACTGGGCACGTCCAGCCTTGAGAAGGGAAGGCTGAAGGGGGACATGATATCCTTCTGGAAGTACCTCAAAGTCTGCCACAGAGAGGAAGGTCAAGGTCTCTTCTTGCTGATCCCAGAGCGTAGGGCACGGAATAATCAATTTAAGTTGTGACTATCCAGACTCAGGCTGGACATCAGGAAAAGCTCCCTCACTGTCAGAGCAATACAACAGTGGAACCAGCTGCTTAGAGAGGTGGTGGGCTCTCGCACACTGTTGTTGTTGTTGTTGTTGTTGAGTCACAAAGTAGTGCCTGATTCTTTGTGACTCAATGGGCAACATTCTTCCAGGTTCTCCCCATACTAGAGACATTCAAAAAGAAACTGAGTGGGATGTTGTAACATGGTGTCCTGCAACAGCAGGGCATTGGACTCAATGGCCTTCATGGCCCCTTCCAACTGTACTATTTTAGGATTCTGGGAATGGTGTCCTAAATTAATAATATTTCCAGCCCATGCACCCAGCCCAGTCTCTCTGGCCACTCAGCTCTTCTCCAAGAGCTGTCCCAGTTCAGCTTGGCTCGGCTTTCTATTTCATCTCCCTGAAGCTGGACCTTCTGTTGCAAGCGCCCCCATAGCAACCAGGCCTGTGGATGTTCCAGAAGCCAAGACCTCATCCACACGCCCTCCTTTTGGCCTTCGTGAGGGGAACCGGAGCCCAGGGATGCCGCGATCCACCTGGAAAGTGGCTTGCCTGAGCAGTCAGGAAAGCCCCCGTTGCAATCTTTGATCCACCACGATGGTCGTTTCACACAAGGAGTCAGCCATGATGACACCGCAGTCATCAGGTCCATGACCGGGTTGCCATCTCTCTCTCTCCCTGCCACCCAACTCAACTCATCTCAAGGTTGTCTAAAAGAGAAAGAGAAACCCATCAGATGAATAACAGGTTGTTTTCCACAGGTGAGCTGGGTGGCCATCTGAGAATGCAGGTTTTCTTCTGACTCTTCACCAAGTGGGCACTCTGGTTGTGGTGACCAGAGTCAGAAGGATCCATAAGTCATTTCGGCAAATTACCTGCTGGGACAGAAAATCCAGAGCATCCTCAAAGAAAAAAGGATGAATTGGGTTCTTTCCAGCATAGAGGTGTGAAGGCTTGAAAAACCAATGGGAAAGAGAAAAAGTAGAGGAACAACTTAAACCCAGATGTTCCAAAAATCCTTGAGGGAAAATATGCAAATCTATTTTTAAATATTTTCTGCCCTATTCTTCTTTTTACCAGTTTTCCCAGGCCTTTATATCTGTATTCCAGAGCTTATTTTGAGCAGGTAAAACACTGTGGCTATTTATCCTCCCACTTTTTTCCTCCTGGTTCTACTAGAGTTCCTTCCATTGTACCTGGCTGCTTCCCTGCCTAAATATCAGTAAGTCTAACATCTGTGAAGTAATAGGAGCTGCTGCGTTTTTTAAAAAAATATTATAATTATTATATGTAATTATTAAGTTATTATAAAAACATTTAGCCATCTCTAGATCCAGGCCTAGCACTGGCGGTACCACTCCAGCAAGAAACAATTCCGTGAGATTATGATCCCTGTGAATCTTCAAATATATTGCTTCTGGAATGTCAATGCCTCATGGTCAAGGTTATTTCTGTATATATGTAGTCTTTTTAGCTTGTCTTGTTGCTGTTTCATTTTTTATTTTTTAGCAAACTGTTTCAAGATGCATCTCCAATAAGAAGCAATATTTTGTTAATCAATAATATCCTATGTCTTTGTTAGAGCGAACTCCTGCTCTTCTTCCAAGGGACTCAGTGATCCAAACATTTTCTCCCTATTATTTTATCCCCACAACAACCGTACCTGATAGGTTATAGTTAAGTTGAGAGACAGACTGGCCAGGAATTCAAATTTGGCTCTCCTTGACTCAACACATCTACACCATACTTGCTGTACTGATAACATATTAGCAATAGGAATATATCTCTGGGCATTCCTGGAGTTAGCACATTTCTGAGGTCATCCACATTTTCCTATATCCCGGTTAGGATAATGGGGTTTTTCTACTTTAAGTTGCAGACAACGGAACAGTGCAAAACTACAAAGACCTCTCTCTCTCTCTCTCTCTCTCTCTCTCTCTGCCTAACCTGCTGCCCTCTGTAAGCCTCAGAGAAAAACCACTTTCTGTCTTTCATGTACCCTTTTTCAAGCATACAGGCCAGCAGCCTAGTTGAAGCCATTGTAATTGGTTAATAGCGTAAGTCCTTTTTTAATTAATTAAATCTGCAAACATTACTTCTGAAACAAGAAAAATTATTTGACTCGAGGGTGAGTCAAAAATTATCCGCACTCTGGCTGTAGAATTTATTTTAATTAACTTTTAGAAAAGACAAATACATCATTTTTCGACATAATCCCCTTGCTTTTCAATACACTTTGTCCACCTGTCAACAAGTTTTCTTATTTCCTCATTAAAAACTGAGCTCAGAAATGAATCTTCATTCTCGTAGGACTGCTTTCAGGGGGCCAAGCAGGTGAAAGTCCACGATGGAGCAAGATCAGGACTTTAGGGGGGATGCTTTAACACCTCAAAACAAAGTTTTGCAGAGATGTGTCTGACACAATCATTTCACGGGTACACGCAATGTTGTCGTAAGCCGTGGATGGGCATTCGGCTCCTCCTTGCTGGCTAACACTTGTGCGACCTTTCTTGACCTTCTTCACTCATTCATACACACTTCTTCACAACAAAACAGTTTCTTCATACTGCGCACAAAGCCGTCGATGAACAACTGCGCCAGGTATACCCTCAGACCGCAAAACACGAATCATTGCACGCTGCTCTTCTTTCGTGGAAATCACAAGTGGGGCATCTAATTTTGCTCGCACCGTGGTTACTAATGAAGTGATGTAACACGTTCACACCTGCACAGCAGTGACTGGGGAGACAGTGGCCTTGAACGGAAAGCGCTGATAAGACAGTGCGGCCAACAGAAGTTTTAATATAACCGGAGTGCGGATAATTTTTGACTCACCCTCGCAGAAGTGCCAGAAGGGCCCTGTGTTTGGAAATACAGAAATGCCTCTTTCTAGGCTCCAGTCCTGCATACACAGGATCTTGGGAGTAAGTGCGGCTGAAATCTGAGTAATTGTTCAGCTGGCGTTTTGGATCTGAGGCTTTGCAAGCGCTTGTATTCAAAACTGTATCCTTCAGTATTATTTAAATCTCCTGTTTTGCAAACCGATTACAAGTTCAGACAGAAGAAAAAGCATGCTGGGAACGCCGTAGGTCCTTTCTTCTGTGTGAACTTGCGTGGCAGCCAACTGATCGACCACAATTCTGAATCTAGTCCATTAAAGATTGCAGCCCAGCCATTATTCCTTGCCGAAGAAGGAGGGTCGGTCCTGTGGGGGATTCACACGATCTTGCTTCTTTGCCGCCCCCGCCCACCCGGGAGGAGAATGACTCCCGATTCGGTTTCTTCCCCCAGCGGCTCCAAAGGGGTTAAGTGGACCGTGCTGGCTTTCCTAGAGAGCCCGGCCGAGCCCGATGCGAGGCGGCGAGGCGGCGAGAGGGGGCGCCTCGCTGAGCCCGCGCCGCCGCCGCTCCCGGGAAGCCGGAGGTCCGGGCGATTTCCCCGTTGCTTCTCGCCTCGGCGCGGCTGCAGGGGCCCGCCCGGTGCCCGCGGGTTGCCATGCAGCGAGGGCGCGCAGGAGGTGAGTTCAAGGCGGGGAAGGATGCCGAACCCCCGAGGAGGGAGAGGGAAAGGAAATCCGCGCTTGGGGGGCGGCGCGGGGGAGCGACGGCTTTGCCACACAGGGAACTTCAGGCGGGTGGGCAACTTGTGGCCTGCAACTCCCATCATCCCGCACCGGTGGCTATGAAGGCTGAGGAGGGTGGGAGTTGTAGGGGAAAGCACAGATTGGTCAGCCCCCGCCTGGCTGCTTCCCTCCCTCCGGATCAGGACGGATCTGAGTGGCCTCAGCTCGCCTCTGTCTTGGACCGGAACTGTTTAACCGGGGCATGAGCAGGCGACCCCTCGGAAACATCAGGGCTGTCTTGCTGCATTTTGATACAAATGGAGTAATGAGGAATACCAGCGTAAGCAGGGTGGGGTATTCCGCTCTATCGCAGAAGCTTCCTGGGTAGGTCTTGCTCTCTCAGAACCCGGGACTGGCTGCGTGCTCACACGTGCACACCAGGAGCTGCTCCTACTATGCAAAATAAAGGCGTGGCTTTAGGGGTGTTCCCTGCCTTTCCAAGGGGGATCACCCAAAACCAAGGGGGGCAGATCTATTCCCAGTCAAGAGAACCTCTGCTGCTGGTGGTGGATCTTAGGAACGTGGGGATCTGCAGTTTATTGGGCCAGACCCTCGCTCTGCTAAGCCGAACATTGCCGACAATGCAGCTGTTTTCTGGGGTTCCCAGTTGGAGTTTTTCCAGTGCTCCCTGGAGGAGCAGTGACGATCCGCATGGAAAAGAGAGGCTGTGCCACTGAGCTGCTCTCCGCAGAGCTCCCTGATGTTGCCCGGAGCTCTCTCACTTAGGGTTACACCTGCAACCCTCGAGCTTGCAAAACTACGGGCATCCAACCCCAGGCAAGGTCAGGGTTGCTTCCTTGGCCCTGCAAAGGGCAGAGATGGCTGATTTTGGCTGCCTATGTGTTTCGACGCTGCTTGTAAGGAGTAGGGGCCGAGGCTACGCAGAATGGTGAGGTCCTACCCCTCTCCCTGCAGCCCTGTCCTGCCCACCCATCACCAGTTCCCACAAAGTTCTACCATCTTTGGAGATGATGGAGTCCCAGCTTGAAGCACTTTTACGAGGTCACGCTGGAGTCTTTGGCTGGCCAGATGATATGTACCTACTATAGGACTTCACCTTTAGAGAATTTGGAAGCGTGTGCGTCATCCGTCACTCGGTACTAGAGCACTTCTTTGCATTCAGAAGGTCTTAGGTTCCATTCCCAGCATCTTGTCTCAGTTGGTTGGGGAAACTGGGAGTTGTAGTCTGACACATCTGTGGGGCAAGAGGTTGTGGATGGTTGATCAATTAAAAAAAGAAACAGCAAGAGAGGAGAGAGTACTTAGGTGTCCCCAAAACAGAAGAGAAAATATTCTCAAATGCCTGAACAAGCTTGCACCATCATCATCATCATATTATTATTATTATTATTAAAAACATTTCTGTCCCATCCTTCACAAAAAAACATCTCAGGACGGCTTACAAAAGCCAACAAGTTCGTCTGTCCAACAAGGTTCAGGAAGGACTTTCCTTCCTCAGCAGCTGCTTCTTTTTCTGCAAAGTGGTTTCAAAGAATCTGTCCTCTGCATCTTCTGTCATAAAACCCTAGTTTTCTTTTTGCCACACCGTTGAAGAATGGCAAGCAGTCCCTGGGAAAGGAAAGACCATTCTGAAAAGTGGTGGGTGTAATAAAAGTTGTTTGGGGCATCTGCGAATTTTTTCTCTTAGGCTTGGATGGAACAAGGTAAGACCACCAAAGCATAGCCCTATTCTAAGTTTACGCCGTCGGCAAAATTAGGGCAAGAATCTGTGTAACCATGGCTGTCATTCACAGTGCAAATGGAAATCAAAACAGAGAAGCAGGAACCGGATGGAGAAAAATCAGAGGTGGAACAAAGGGTCCTTCCTGCTGGCCAGGCTGGGAGCGGCCCAGAGCTTCAGAAGGGGGCGGCCCTGCATCCCATCAAGCAAGAAGCAGAGCATGAGCTGCAGCAGTGCTGGGAGACTCAGTGGCAGAGATTCCTGCGGACCATGCAGGCCCCTTGCCCGGGCTGGAGAGCCCCGCAGCTGCCTCTCCTCTCCTCAGGGAAGGCCCCGAGGGCAAGCCAGACGGATTGCAAGGCAGCAGCTGAGAACAGCCTGCACCCCAGAAGAGAACCTGCGACACAGGCCTGGCCGAGCCCTGCCGGCGAGCCCTGTGAGAGTCACCTCGATTTCTCCGTGCAGGTGAAAGAGGAGGTTCCAGATGAGGAGGAGCTGGTCAGCCTGGAGGCCCGGTGCCAGCGCTTCAGGCGGTTCTGCTACCGGGAGGCCGAAGGGCCCCGAGAAGCTTGCAGGCAGCTCCAGGAGCTTTGCCGCCAGTGGCTGGAGCCGGAGAGGCACAGCAAGGAGCAGATCCTGGAGCGCGTGACCTTGGAGCAGTTCCTGGCTGTCCTGCCCCCGGAGATGCAGAGCTGGGTCAGGGAAAGTGGCCCAGAGACCTGCGTTCAGGCAGTGGCCCTGGCAGAGGACTTCCTGCTACGGCTGGAGAGGAGAGAGCAACAGGTAGGTGCATTTTGGTGTGTAAGACCAGGTGGAATATGCCTCTATGGGCCATAAGTGGACATCCCTGCAGGTCACACCGCTCTGTGTGTCATTGTACATTTGGGATACAGCTGCATGCAGCCCCTGAGTTATGAGCAAGTTCTGTTCTTGAGAAAATAGAAATTCATCTCTAAGTCGAATTTGTATGTAAGTAGGATTGTGTCTAGTCAGCCCTCCACATTCGTGGGAGTTAGAGGCAAAGGATTCCTGTGGAAGTGAAAAACCATGAATATCTCTAGGCTCCCCGCCTGCCCCCACCCAAACTCACCAGCACCTTCTCTTTCAGCAAGGAAATGCTGGAAAGATTTCCCTCTCCAGATGAGCCGAGTAGAAAGGCATGTTATGGAGGCCTCTCTCTCTCTCTCCCCCCACTCTCTATGGTGATGCTTTGGATGCCTTCCTCTCTCCCCTTTCCCATCTTCTCTCTCTATGGTAATGATGATTTTCTGCAGTATTTCTTTTTAATTAATAGGTTTTCTAGCAGTTTGCTCTCAAGTACAAGTTGTTCATAACTCAGATGTTTTTAACTCGGAGACTTTCTGTAAATGGATCTCCAGGGGCAGTATATCTTTGCAACAGTAAAAATTTGGGCAAGCTGCAGAGGAAGGCCATTAATTTTGTCACCCTGCTTGTGAGTTCCTGAAACTATTTGGTTGGCTGCTGCTGGAAACAGAGAATGGTGGACTGAGTCAAGGGTAGCAGACGGGTCCCTTCCAGGCCATGATTCACTACAGACCACATCATCCCTGACCATTCTCCTTGCTGCCTGGTCCTGATGGGACTTGCTGCTAAGTATCGTCTGGGCAGCAAGGGTAAAGAAAGCTGGGCTGAGAAGTTCCTTGGTGTGACTCCAGAATGACACTGGCTCCCGTTTTTGTTCTGTCTGCAAAGCTGGGCAGGGCCAGCCCTGCCATTGGACGGAGGGACGTGGGCAAGTGATGCTGTCAGGGGGTCCACAAGCAGGATGGAGGAATAGCAGGCTTCTAGTTTTTTATTTATTTGGCATTTTTATATTTATTTTTATTTATTTAGCACTCCTAGCCACACAGCTCTCTAGACAGTTTACATAATAAAAAGTTGTCCACACCAACTGGTTTTTGGAGGCATTGTGCCTTTGATGCTCTCTTATATTTTTATTCAGGCATTTTATTCTGCGCCTCGGCCAGAAAGGCTCCTGGAGTGGCTTTCATGCCATCGGTAAAAGTTTGCCCTTGCCCACAGGCTTATAGTCTAAACAAAGGCACAACATGCAAGGAAATAGGGCTGGGGAGGGCAGAGGAGGGACAGTCTTTCAGCAGGACTGGCAGAATGCCTCGGCTTCCTCCCTCGCCTCCCTTCGGTTTCATACTGGAGGCAATATATGGGCTCGCAGTCAATATCCAGGTTGGCTGGCTTCCGTCTGAGGAACCGGAGGGGCTCCGTTGTCCTGGCTAGCAACACACCTTGAGCCAATCCTGGTGCCGATTGCAGGGTGGGGTGGGGTGGGGGCAGGGCAGTCCCAAAGTTGTGAGTTGTGCGTTCCCTCTTCAGTTTCAGAAGCTGCAGCTGGTCGAGGAGGTGATCGTTCATTCCCCTAAGGCAGAGCGAGATCTGCTGGACTCCGAGGACATGCAGCTCTCCTTCGACGCGGAACAGGACAGTGACGGGGAAGCCGGTTTGTTCAGTAAGTTTTGGCAGGAGGGGAGCCTGAATGAGGGCAAAGGGTTCACACGGCCTTTGAGGTAAGGCTGTTAAGGAGGTAAGGAAGGTGCTACGCTGAGAAGGGCCTTTCCTGCTGTGGCACCAGCTGCTCAGACAGGCGTGCCTGGTGCCAACACTTTACATCAGTGCCAGGCCAAAACCTTTTAATTTTCACAGAATTTTAATTGTTAATTTTAAAAACATTTTAGCTGATTTACTTTATTTATTTTTATTTCATTTATTTAAAGTTTTTCTACACCGTCCCATTACTAAAAGTGGCTTACAGAGGACAAAAAACAAACAAGAACAAAAACCATAACAACACAACACGCAACAACATGTGTTATCCGACACCTGGGTTATTTTCCTTGCTTAATTTGTTTCAATTTCATTAATTTCTAATTAATTATTTTTATTAGATTATATTTCTGGGTTTATACTCTGTTATATTTTTCTTAATGTGATATTTTCGTTGGTTTTATCATGCAATTGTTTAGATTTGAATGGTAGTCTATGTGATGTTTTAAATTTTCAATATGTTGTAAACTATCCTAAGAGTCATTGACTACTGAGGGTGACTACCCAGAGGAGGGCCTTCTCTGTGGTGACGCCCCAATTGTGGAACACGCTCCCCAGAGAGGTTCGCCTGGGGCCAACACTTCTTTCCTTTCAGCGTCAGCTGAAAACCTTTTTATTCTCCTGGCATTTTAATTGTTAACTTGTTTTAGTTAGTGGGTTTATATTTTAACATTGGCTGCTGGCCCACTATTATTCTTATTTCTATTTTTAGGATTAATTTGCTGTAAACCATCCCAAGACATCTCAGTATGGGACAGTATAGAAAAGTTTTAGATAGATAGATAGATAGATAGGAACTGTATATAAAATGAAGAAAAACACACACAAGCAGTGTGGGTTTTCTAGCGAATGCTCCTGTGCAGATGGGCTATTTTCATTTTGCACCAGAACATTTTCTGAAGCAGCTGCCACAGCTTGGTGTTCTCCTAATATCCCTTACCATTGGCCAAGCTGACTTGGGGCTGATGGGAGTTGTAGTCCAAAGCATGGAGGGCACCAGGTGGGGAGAGACTACCCTAACAGTCTGCCTATTTTACTTGTACTTCATAAACAGCAAAGCTTTTAAAAACTCTCCCACATTAATTTGAGTATTTCACCTGAAATACTTGAGAGGGAAAATGGAAAGTACATTGACATTTACATCCCTAGATGAAAAAAGTCCTACACCTCTGGGCATTCCTCAGCCAGTTGTGTCTGAACATACGTGGAATTGTGTTCTTAATACGATTTCAGTGTTCTGTTATGTAGAAAATTGAATTGGGATACTTGTAAAAATGTAATATACATTTCTAAACCATCTTGAGATTTTTAAAATACGAGACGATGTAGAAAAACGTGAAATAAATAAATAACATAAGAACATCAACTCCTCTTTCAATATGAGGAGAAGGGGAAGCACTGAAAACTGTTAAGACACGAAGAATAGTTAGCAGCCCGAAAAACTTTGCATAATATGCTGGGAACCACTCATCTTCCACTTTGAAGCTGCCAGGCTTGTCTTCCGCCGCAGCGGGCATTTGTCTCTGTTTACCATTATTAAAGGGATTTGGAAAATGCCCTTCCAACACTGGTCTAGTCATTAAACTTTCCCACAGAATTCAGAACTGGTCCTCAGCAGTAGCCTACCTACTCCCTGGGGCTGCAGGCTTTGGCATTCCGGTCGTGGATGCTCTCCTTCATCCAAATCAGAGTTTGCATCCAGAGCATTTGAAGGCTCTGCTGTGGGGATCGGGACCGCTCCTCCTACATCCCCAGACATTTCCTCCTCCTAACAGCCAGAATGGCTAGATGTTTGTATTTCATAAACAGGCGGAGCAACTTTTTTAGTGGGATGGTGTAACTTGGTGTCCTGCACTGGCCGGAGGTTAGACCTGATGGCCTTCCCGGCCCCTTCCAACCCTACTGTTCTAGGATTCGGAGAAAGCCTACACCCAGCAAAGCCAGGAGTCGCTGGTTGAAGTCCCAGCTGCAGGGACGGAATGACACCAGGAACAGTACTGGTACGCCACAGAGAGCTGAGTAGGGAAGGCCCTCCGGCCTGCCCCCAGACAAACTCACTCCCCTTGTGGCTGTCAGTGGGTGAATGAATGAGGAGACAGAAGATCCTTAGCCAGAGAAACTCCCTCCCAGGAGGGAGCCCATGGGAAACCCAGAGGAAATTGATCTGGGCTTCTCTGTTTGTTTCAGAAAGTGAGAAGGAAAAGGCGAACCTTCAGCCGGAAAGGCCCAAGAAAACTGAAGTGAGAGCGCTTTCCTTGGACACAGCGAGAGGAGCTTTTCCCCAGGTGGCCGAGGCAGGGGAAAGGCCTAGCAGTCAACCGGGACTGAAACCTTCCCAGGAAATCTCTCTGGGACAGACACAAGGGCAACACAGGGAGGATGGTGACCGACGTTCAGCCAAAAACCGCTCCCAGCAGCCAACCCCCAGGCAGGCCACGGAAAAGAAAGCTGTGGAGTGTGGGAAAAGTTACCCCCTGGGCTTGGGCCTAGTTCAGCCCGCCAAGGCACAATCCTACGAGTGCTCGTACTGCGGGAAGCGGTGGCCGTGCCAGTCGCAGCTCCGACGGCACGTGAAGATCCACACGGGCGAGCGGCCCCACAAATGCACGGACTGTGGGAAGAGCTTCAGCACCAGCTCCAACCTCAGCCAGCACAAGAGGGTGCACACCGGGGAGAGGCCGTACAGCTGCAAAGACTGCGGCAAGAGCTACCGGCGGCGGGCCTCCCTTGTCCAGCACGAGAGAGAGACCTGCCGCAAGGGCAGCCGCTTCAGCGCTCCCACCGTGGGTTACGTGGTGTTGGGGAACTGCACGTTGCTGTGCATGAAAAAATCGACACAGGGTGCGAGGAACCGTGTGATCGCCCCCAAGGGGGGAGACCCCAGCCTGGCGGATCAGCCCTTGAATATCCTGACAGGGTATTCCCAGGAGCGGAGCTGTGCCAAGGATTAGGATACAGGTAAAGTGTCTCCTGCACCTGGAGCCCTGCTTGACAAAAGAGAACTCTGAGGGGAGGGAAAGAAGAATTCCCTGGCCTGGTCGAGGGTTTTGCTTGGAGATCAAATGCAGGAAGCGAATCGATGTGAAATCGATGCTGTGTGGCAGCTGAGTGGTGTGGGAACTGCTTCTTTTCTAGTATGCTTTGCAGAAGCCAAATAACTGGACGGAGGACATGAGCACAAAAGTCACCGAACAGGATGTCTCCAAAGTGTATTTAAAAATGAGGTGCATTAATCCCGCCATGTTTCAGATAGAAATTCTCTCTCAAAGTAATCAGCAAGGATGATTCCTGGGTGGGCAGAGTCTCTGCTTGGTGTCTGCTGGGCCTGCTAAGCCACATATTTTCTGCACAAGGAAGGATGCATGAAGTTGCATACCCACGGAGGGCGGCCTGCCGAGAACTTGACCAGCACCGCTGTTTTCGCAGGCCCTGGCAGGCAGCGCGTGCATGAGATGGGCCATCCGCGGGGGCTCCAGGGGCTGTGCACTTCTGATGTACCCTATGGTTGTGGTGGAACCCAGAGTTGGCTTAGGGAGCTGAAAAGCTAACCATCAAGCCTTACCCAACGAGAGCGAAAGAGAACCCAGATAAATATTCAGAGTTTTGAGAGACCTTTCCGCCATTGCAGTAGTGGTTTTTTTTTTTTTTTTTGTGGTAGAGATGAACCAGAAAGTACCTGCAAGATGGCCTGCAATCAGAAAAACAAAAAGCCCAAAAAGAAATCTGACGTGGAAAGTGGGAAGCAGTGGGATGGTGGGGACCTCAGTTTGTTTGCTTTTTCAATGAGGTTGGGAGAGTGTTTGGCTCAACGAAGCTGGGCATCAAATCACAAACAAGACTGCACTGAGGTAGGCAAATCACCCAGGTGTTTTGGAGTACAACTCCCACTGGTCCAAGGTCAGGAACTGTGGGATATCAGTCTGTGGGGGCAAATATGGATGTAAGCGCTCCTTCAGGTAACCAGGACCCAAGCCGTTTAGGGCTTTATAGGTCATTACCAACACCTTGAATTGGGCCCGGACTTCAATGGGGAGCCAGTGAAGCTGACGGAGAACTGGTGTCATGTGAACATAACGTCCAGTCCCCGTCAGCAGCCTGGCAGCTCTATTCTGAACCAATTGAAGTATCCGGACCGTCTTCAAGGGTAGCCCCACGTAGAGCGCGTTACAGAAGTCAAGATGGGAAGTCACCAGCGCATGAGTCACTGTTGCAAGGCAGTCGTACTCCAGGTAGGGGCGCAGCTGATGAATCAGCCGAAGCTGGAGGAAAGCGCTCCTCGCCGCTGTTGTCACCTGAGCTTCAAGTGAAAGCTCCGGGTCGAGGAGCACTCCCAAGCTGCGGACCTTGTCCCTAGGAGGGAGTGCAACCCCATTCAGGACAAGGTTCAGGTCACCTTCTCCGAAGCCCGAACCGCCAACCAACAGGACCTCCGTCTTGTCTGGATTGAGCTTCAGTTTATTGGCCCTCATCCAGCCCATTACCTCGGCCAGGCACCGGTTCAGTACAGCCACTGCCTCACCTGGATTGGTGGAAAACGAGAGGTAGAGCTGGGTATCATCAGCATACTGATGGGTCCGCAGCCCACACCTCCTGATGACCTCTCCCAGCGGTTTCATGTAGTTATTGAACAGTAAAGGGGACAAAATGGAACCCTGCGGTACCCCATGGCAAAGCTGCCATGGCGCAGAGCCATAGTCCCCCAACACCACCTTCTGGAATCGGTCGTTGAGATAGGAGCGGAACCACCGCAAAGCGGTGCCTCCGACCCCCAATCCCGCCAGCCTATCCAGAAGGATACCATGGTCGATGGTATCGAAAGCCGCTGAGAGGTCCAGGAGAACCAACAGGGACGCACTCCCCCTGTCCTTCTCCCTGCACAGGTCATCGTACAGGGCGACCAAGGCAGATTCAGTACCGTACCCGGGTCTGAAGCCGGACTGAAATGGGTCCAGATAATCAGTTTCATCCAAGAGTGCTTGGAGTTGTCCCGCCACCACTCGCTCTAACACCTTGCCCAGAAACGGGATGTTGGCCACTGGTCTATAGTTAGCGGCCATCCCTGGATCCAGTGACGCCTTCTTCAGGACCGGTTGGACTACCGCCTCCTTTAAAGGAGCAGGCACCCGACCCTCCCTCAGAGAAGCGTTAACCACTTCCAAGATCCAGGTTCCAATCCCGTGCTTGGAATCCTTTATTAACCAAGACGGGCAAGGGTCCAGAAGGCAAGTGGTAGGACGTACTCGTCCAAGCACCTTGTCCACATCATCGGGCCGCAATAACTGAAATTCATCCAATAATTCTGGACCAGACGGTAGCGTTGGTGTCTCCCTTAAAACCTCTGAATCAATAGTGGAATCCAGCTCGTGATGAATCTGAGCGATTTTCTCCCTAAAATGCTCGGCAAAGTCGTCACAGCGGGCCTTTGAGGGTGGAATCAGCTCTTCCTTTGGCCCTGGGTGAACCAGGCCTTGCACCACTCGAAAGAGCTCCGCCGGACGGCATTGTGAGGAGGCAATGGAAGCGGAGAAGTGTCTCTTTTTCGCCGCCCTCACCGCCACAGCATAGGCCCGATAGTGGGCTCTTAAGTGTGTTCGGTCAGATTCATCACGTGATTTCCTCCACCTACGCTCTAGCCGTCTCCCAACCTGCTTCATTGCCCTCAATTCTGGAGTGTACCAAGGGGAAGAGCGGGCTCTGCCCGATGGGAGAGGACGCTTAGGAGCGATCGTGTCTACAGCCCTGGTCATCTCCCCATTCCACAGTTCAACCAGAGCCTCGACAGGAGCACCCGTCTTGTCAGCCGGAAACTCCCCCAGAGCCTTCAGGAATCCTTCTGGATCCATCCGGCTCCGGGGGCGGACCCACACAATCGGGTCTGCACCCTTGCAGAGGGAGATGTCGCTCTCGAGCACAAACCTCACTAGGAAGTGATCTGACCATGACAGGGGAGTCAAGCATAAATTCCTCACCCTCAGACCACCCTCTTCCTGCCCCGTCGAGAAAACCAGGTCCAGAGTGTGTCCACGTTCATGGGTCGGGCCGGTGACATGTTGAGACAGCCCCATGGCCGTCATGGAAGCCATGAAGTCCTGAGCCGCCCCGGTCAAACTAGCCTCGGCATGGATATTGAAGTCCCCCAGGACCAGCATCCTGGGGGTCCTCAACACCAGGTCCGAGACCGTTTCCGTCAGCTCAGGCAGGGAGACTGTTGGGCAGAAGGGTGCACGGTACACCAACAGAATCCCCAATCTGTCTCGGTCGCCCAACACCAAGTAGAGACACTCCAGCCCTGGTCTCGAAGGGACAGGAAGTCCCGTGAGAGTGATGGAGGCCCGGTAAACCAAAGCGACCCCCCCTCCCCTCCCCTCCGGCCGTGAACAGTGCTGGACCATATACCCGGGCGGGCACAATTGAGAGAGGGCAACATCCCCCCCCCTCTCCCGCCCAGGTCTCCGTTATACAGGCCAGGTCGGCCCCCTCATCCACAATCAAGTCATGGATGAGGGCAGATTTGTTATTGGCCGACCTGGCATTAAACAACAGCACCGTCAGGCCCGAGGGGCGACTGACAAGACTCCCTGGCACCTTCTGGCTGGGAGCAAAACCAGAAGTAGGGACAGGTGTCAGCCATCTGTCCCTCCTTCTTCTATGCAGACACGTTAAGCCCCCACCGCTATTACGTCCATTGCCCATCACCACACCAATGGCGGCGCCAGTGCGCTCCCCAGGAAACTCAGGCGGCAACATGGCCAGGGACGACTCCATAAAAACAAGTTAAAACACTTTAAAATTATAAAACATTTAAAATTGGCCGTTCAACAGAAGGGACTGCCACAACAAAAGAGCAAGTCCCCTGGCCAGCCTAGCCCCCCCCCGAACAGCCCCCCCAAACGGCGGCAAACCGCCCTTTGGCCGCCGGCCCCGGCCGCTGCTGGTGCTTTGTAGCCGCGGGCCGCCCGACGCCCCACCCCGTCCGGGCACGCCTGCCACGTGTGCAGGGGCGTGGCAGGGCAGTCAGGTAGCGGCGGAGTCGGCGGCGCGGCGCAGTCTTCGCGCGGTCTTCGGGCGCGTGCGCGGCGCGGTCTTTGGGCGCGTGCGCGGCGCGGTCTTTGGGCGCGGTGCGGTTCTCGGGCGCGGGCGCGGTCTCCTGCCAGGTGTTGTTCTAGCAAGGCGATCAAACTGGTCAGTCCTGGAGGAGATCAACCCCGACTGCTCTTTAGAAGGCCAGATCCTGAAGATGAAACTCAAATACGTTGGCCACTTAATGAGAAGGAAGGACTCCCTGGAGAAGAGCCTAATGCTGGGAACAATAGATGGCAAAAGAAGAAGATGATGGCAGAGGATGAGGTGGCTGGATGGAGTCACTGAAGCAGTTGGTGTGAGCTTGAGTGGACTCCGGGGGATGGTGGAGGACAGGAAGGCCTGGAGGAGTGTTGTCCATGGGGCCGCGATGGGTTGGATGCGACCGCATAGCATAGTATAGGCAGTGGACATAACTGTCTCATGGAGGAAGACCCTAAGGCAGCGGTTTACCCATCACCCCAAAGGTTCCTCCAGGAGAAATGTCCTGACTGTTAGAGCAGAACAGCCATGGAGCCAATGGCCTGGGGAGGTGCTGGGCTCTCCCACACTGCAGCCACTCAAGATGCAACTTGACAGCCATCTGGGAGGGATGGTTTAACTGGGAGTCCTGCATTGAGCAAGGGTTGGACCCAACGGCCCTCTGGCCCCTTCTAACTCTACCTATCCATGAGTCTATGATTCTCTGCATATGCTGTGTTTGGTGCCTGCTGAAAAACATCTTAATTTCAGGAATCCTCCTTTATTTGACCGGCCACCATTTTATCCAATATCTTGTTTTTAATACATTGTTTTCTTTTATCTGTTTTTTATCTTTTTATTGTTCAGCGCTCTCCAATCTATATAGATATGGAGAAGTCTATACATGTTGCAAATTGAATTGATAAAGAAAGCCCAGGGAAGGAGGCCCTTTGGCCCAATATTTATCTCGCCCCTCAAGCTAGTCTGCCTCCCCCCACCCATGGCAACACTTCGGTGGTGTTGAGCAAGTTGGTTCAGTGCACAAAAACTTCGTTAAGGTCTTTGTTTTAACACCAAGGTGTTAAGAGGGCTAATGCAGAGTGGGGTGGCCAGCTCCCTTTTCTTCTTCCTCCTTTAGGGCTCTTGCGCCCTTCAGAAGCTGCTTGAAAGGCAGATATTCACCAGGGGTAGTTTCTCCCACATGCAATGGGCAGATTCAACAGGTGGATCCAGCCTTGTTGTAGTAGTGTTTGATGAATGCCCACCTTTTGTGCGAGCTGTTTTGAAGCACAGAATCTGGGAGCACAAAAGCCTGGGGGCTGCCCACCCCAGAAAAAGCAGGGGAGTGGGGACAGCACCCGCTTCCTCAATTTCCTCTCTCCCAAAGCCCAGTCTCTTTTTCTCCCACTGCTTTTTCTTAAGGGAGACTCACAGCGTTAAATGCACACAGAATATGAATTCCTAGAGCGGTCCAGTGGAAAGGTTTTGGGCAAGAGGAAGGAAGAAAAAATGTCAGAGAGAGAGAGAGAGATCATGTTTAAATAAATAAATAAATAATTTA